GTTGGCGCTTGGCTGTGATCCGTGTAGCCAAAACACAATCTACGAATGAAAACCGAGCTCCCTCCAGGGTCACCTCTGTTGGGACGCTGAATTACATCCGTCTGGAACATAACGTTAACGTTGTATTTAGGAGTGTTACAACTGTTTGACTGTTAGGGTCAGTTCACATAGAGACACGATGCGACGCGACGTTGCTTGAACGGTTGTGTGGGAAACATGAGCTGGGAGCACACTGCTCTAGCACGCTGCGCCTATCGACGAAGCACAGCTGCGTTGTGATGTGCCGCGCTACGCTGCGAGGCATCACGTTGCGCCTCGCGTGTCCAGATCTTAAAAACTGCGCGCCGCGTCGCGTCGCGTAACGTTTCGGTGTGAACTGACCCTAAGAGGTTCACGTAGAAGATGTCAACACCTCAAACGTGGTGGAGCGTAGCGTATTAGCTGCATCACAACCGGCAAACGCGTTGGCTTCTCCGGGGACGGATTACGCTTGCATAAAATACCAATAGATAACTACACAAAGGGTTGCTGTGCTTCGTATGTTGAGTGACGAACGCCGGAGATTGTTTTTACTGGTAACTTGTCACCCCATATTTTTCGCAGTGAAGACAACGCATCTGCATGTCACAAAACACCAGCGTAAAAAACAGAATAATGCTGTTTAGTATGGTGAGTGTAGAGAACCGGAGACGCTTTTTACTGGTAACGAGGCACTTCATCTTAGTCCTCAGGTGTGACGATGCATTTGCGTTTTAATTTTTAATCGAGAATAGATGTAGATGTCTACGGGCTGCGGTGTCCATTTACTATCAGACGGAGCATGTGCTGGCTAACCACCTGTAATTACCTAACAAAAAAAAAAAAGATAATTAACGATAGATGTAGGTGGTTTTGGGCCAAAACATCCACTTACATCTTTTTTATTTATATTTTTATTATCCCTCCTGATGGTGAAGCGCACTGACTTAGCTTAACAATATAAATAAGGGCGTATGATATGGTCTCTGCTCTCACCAATTCATGATGTGTATTGACAAATCTGCCAAAAATATATGCTAAAATGATGCATTACTGAAAAAGCCTATATCCTGCAAGACTAAAAAAGCTTTTGTATAAGTAACCGCCACCTCTTCCGTGTTGTTTGATATATTAACAAAGTTTTGATATATACAGGGCTATTTTTCAAAAGTTAGCATATTTTAAACTTAAGTTCAAATATATAAATAATGATGTCCGTTATTTCAGTTTATGAAAATATGAGTAAATAAGCTAGTACTTTTATTTGAAATTATCTCAAATTGAATTTAATTTATGGGCATCAACGTTTTTGCATACAGATCCACCCTTACGAATGCGTGCACAGTAAAATCAGTTAAAATAATGCATTACCACGCATTTTGAATTTAAAAGATAATAAGGACAGAATGTTTGATTTTTTTTAGTCAATTGTTCTTCACCATTTGCCTATTTTACTTATGCTGAACCTTCTCTGTAAATTTGGCCGGTTATTGTAAAATAACCCTGTATATTAGAATAAATCATACGACTGTAAGAAAACGAATTATATGAAAATTAGTTATTTAACGGTGAAAAATTACTGAGGAAACTATAGGAAACTACGGGGGGGCAATAAATTATTGATCAAGGTACAACTCGTCGTTGATGCCGCAAAGGGGCGAACCTCAATTTTTCAAAAAATTACAGGTGAGCAAGAAAACATTTATTATTCCCCGATTACTAGCTTTTTTCATCAGAAAACTAAATATATTAGACTTAATGGAAAAATACAAATAAGATTAATTTTCTCATGAAAAAAGCCATTAATAGATATAGAATAGTCAATGTTTGCTCTCCTATAATTTTTTGAAAAATTGAGGTTTGCCCCCTTGCGGTGTTAGCGACGAACTGACCAGCATCAGGTCTGCCCTATAGGTGCCCTGTAGTTTAAAAAGGCTTTATCATGAGGCAGAGGTAGAAGAGACTTCTTCGCGGGAAATAAAAGCATATCACTGAATACGTAATGATTATAAAAATCGTTGTTTCTTAAAACTTTAATAACTTTATATTAAATGAAGGTATAGCAATTGTTCTTTTTTTTAGTTGTGTATCGCTAGCAACGCAAAGTCGGGAATTTGCATTTGGAAAAATCCAAAATTAGGGGCTTTTTAGGTGCTAATTAGGTGCCAAGTTTAAAAATTAGGTGCTCTAAAATTTTCACCGCAACGAACTGTTGAAATTTTTTTTTTTTTTATATCTGTTCAGGACAATGCTTTGTGACATTTCATGTGGGAGGCCTATGTTCGGCAGTGGACTTGTACGGGTTGTAGTCATTACAGATTTAGATTACATTGTACTCATTCATCAAAGGTAATGACTGATATCACCAGCAAAAGTAATAGCTTCCGAAATTATTCGGAATCATTCAGCCTGAAGATCTGGGATATATAGAAATAAAACACGCCATGTATAGGCTAAAATCTTTAATATTAACAACGATATAATCTACAAGTTACAATAAACTTTCATATAAATTATACAATCTACGGGACATCGCCACTTTTACACCCATTACATAGCAGATCACATGACCATTTCGGTAATTTTAACATGGCTTTGGCTTTTAGAGTGATTACAGATACTGAAACGAATTACATAAATAATAATAATTAATTTGTGTAAAAATAAATTAAGTTTAAAACATAGTAACGCGAAAGACATTTCTCATTTATATTCGCATAAAACTACGGAATTCATTTTAAAACATAATATAATGCGTAGATAACGAATACACATAATATTTAGAAAAAACTACCATTGATACACAACAAAATTTAACCTATTGCAAACTAGATACTGCACGGTGCTGCTTAAAAGTTTATATTGCACATGTATATTACTCTATGCTGTAAGTATTCAGTAATTCAGTCAGACTCAGAAGGGCTAAAACCCAGAGTCGCAAAGCCAGTTAAAAAAAAGGGAATTTATTTCAGGCTCAGAAGGGCTAGAACCCAGAGTCGCAAAGCCAGTTAAAAAAAAGTAATTCATTTCGGTTTCTGTAACATCTCAAAAGTCATGCATTTTACCAAACGGTTATACATAATGTATACATATATATATGTAACATACGAACTAATGCACAAACATAACGTTAATATAACAGAATACCTTGCATAGTTCACTGCACCTACCTGTAGCTGAATTCACGCACTATTTGATAATGACATTGACAAGTTATCTATTTTACCTGATCGCAAAAATTGCGCCACATGTGCATTTTTAAACCTATTACAAGACAGCCATTGTGTAATTGACGACTACGCAAGAGTTAAATATTGAAATTTATTTTTATGTTTCATATTGTTTTTAAGAACTTATTATAATTTGATGGTTGCTGCAGAAGTAACGTAAAATATTTTAAGAGTCAACAATTAAATGTATCACTTATTGAAACAGCAAATTACACAATTGTACGTTTTTCTTAATTTACAACTATTTTAGAATTATTGTAACACTTGCGTTAAATGAACTCCTAAGATATTTTAGTTTCACAAACTTTATTCAGGAAGATAGGATTTGGAAAAAAATTAAAAAACTTAAATGTACAACGCCGCTTCGTTGTCATCTAACTTGTCAAACCGCACATCAAAAGCATGTCAGATATTTAAGTCGCGATGTCTCAAAATTGCATCGTATTGTGCGCATTGCTGAATATTGTATAATCTGTATTATGTGGATTTGACAAATTAAAAACTAACCTACTTAAGAGCTGAACTTAATAAAAATAATCAACAAACTTTACAAGAATAAGAGACATGAAAGAAGTTGAAAAACAATTAAACTTACACATTTCATTTTAATTCTTTATATGTGTATTAAATACCACTTAGTAAAATATCGTAATTCCAATTAGCTTTTGTAGGTTTTTTTATGTAAAGGAAAACGTTGTTTATGTATAGGTGGTATTGTCCCGCCAAAATAAATCTTAATTTACATTTTTTATCTGTAAATCTTAAGAAAATAATAGAGTAGGGAATTATAATTATAGATAGAGTCCGTGTCAGCGGAAGGAAACTTGCGGACAGCCGAGAAAAACTAAATAATAAAAAGATATCACTAAGTCTATGCTTTGCATCTTGTTTTATTTATTAAAAATGACTAGTCGCGTTATATGTGAGATCTTGTCATGTCCGAAGGTTCCTTCTACTTAAATTAACTATATATTTTGTACGGGAGCAGCGAAGAGAGTCAGAAGCTAGAAAGATTTTTCTATTTAACCACATCTATATTTTAAATGGTACATCATTCCTTGCTTCTTAAATTTCCAGACTAGGACTCAGTTGTCTCCAATGAGGCCTTATATTTCCCAACTCCCTCTTGTTTCACCATATTGTAAATAAGAAATTTTATACGATTGTACCGCTAAACACATTTATATCATACTGCTAGTCCCGATAATTCCATCAACAAAGTAGGTCGTAAAATGAGGAATTTAATCAACCCCAATGATTTTTTTTTTATAATTAATAAATATTATTTAGAATCAGACGGGAGAAATTAAAACGAAATATGAGCACACTATTATGAAAAGATTTATATTGGTTAATATTTTGAAGTTGATTAATTTCCCATGCAAAATTTCGTACAGCGGATTGCACTAAAATGTTTAAGTTATATAGGTGATATGACCCGTCTACTGAGAAAACGATTTTAACGACACATATTTTTTTCCTTACATTTTCTTATTACACGGATAATTTAAAAACACTTTTGGATGCTACTAAGGATTTAGTATAGACTTTTATTCATTGTGTATGCTGTCAACATTTTTTATTTAAGAGCACAGTAAGCCCTTGAAGACATGAACACAATTGCTTATTGAATTATTTTCTGTGTTGGTATTTTAACACTTGGGTGAAGTCCGCTGTACGGTTAAGATATGTATGCAATTTAAACACTATTGTATGTAGTTGTTGGTTGAAATGTTTGTATGTGTGCATGATTTAACGTCGGCCGTTTCTGGTGTCTGGATGAGGACGCCTCGGATTTAATACTGCAAAAAAAGAATACAATAAAAAAACTCGCTTGATTTTTTTTAACGAGATATTCCAAATATGTATGGACTCTGGGCCAGATCTTGGTATAATAGATTAAAAAATAGACGAGAGACAAACTGGTTCCACGTACGCAACGTTTGTACGAAAAACTATGTATTAGAAACACGCTACAATATCTAGATCGGCGTGGGAAGGTGGCGGGAATATTCGTACGTAATCCCACGCGGACGACCAGTGTGTTCCTAGAACTTATTCGTAGCAGGTGTAAACTAATAGACCTTTTAAATAGATAAAAAGCGTGCACGGTGCGTTTTATTGTCAAAATGAGAGACGAACAGCTCATCGATTTAGTAAGGCGATACAAATGATTTTTATAATATTAAATATGTTGAATATCGTTAAAAGTATAAAGCAGTTTTTTGTATTTTTAACCCAGTTACGATTAGATATAAGACACGTTTTTATATATTGCAGAAATAATACACTGTATTTGTTTGGATTATAAATCATATTTTAACAGAATTACTACCTAAACTTCCAAAACTCCGACTTTAGGAGTTTGGTAGAAATACTGATAAACGTTATGATTTAAAAGGGAAACGAATCCATGATAATGTAAAATATAATCAAAAGTAAAAAAGCAAGTCATCGAAAGTTTGACATACGAAAATATAAAAAAATCGACCCTCATTATTTTCCAGTTTCTTAACACACATAAACTTGGTATGGTATTATCCAAACTCGCCTCTATTTATTTATTACATGTATCCAAAAAAAGAAAAAAAAATCGTAAAAGAAAAATCTTTTCACGAAATATCACTTCGGTAACAATTTATCACCGACAAAATAATCATTTCATGATGACATTCGATCGAAACACTACTGTAATTTCTCTACCGGTATGCGATTTTAGGATAAGGGTGACAAACGAGCACACAATCCACCTGATGGTAAGTGGTTGCTGTGACCCATAGACATCTACATCTATCCTCAATAAAGAATCAAAATGCAGATGCGTTGTCACCCTTGAGGACTAAGATGGAATGCCTCTTTTCCAGTGAAAAGGGTCTCCGGTTCTCTACACTCACCATACGAAACACAGCAGCATTAAGCTGCTATTTTACGCTGGTATTGTGAGAGCGTGGTCTTTCTCCGGTGGAGCTGACCCATTCGTGCTACAACTATACAACGTTTAAATTACCACTTAATTGAGTGACGATAAGTCGATGGATGTAGGCAGCTTGGAACCATGCTTTGTGACACTCCTTTGTGGAGGCTTTATTCTACGGTGGACTTGTGAAGAGAAGAGAAGAGAAGTAAGCTCTTTGACGTCTATGCCCAGCAGTCAGATGTATATATAGACTTATTTTGTTCCGACCGTAAGTGAAGCCACTTGGACGATAGTATAATGTTATGGAGACAGTCGATCGATTCCGCTTTCCACCCATTCACCTAATCGACCTCCAAAGACATCGCATCTTAGTCCTTTGATGACAACACATCTGCCCTTTTTATATAAAAATATGATTCAGCAGTCGCAATGATTCCCGTCATAAGATACCGACATCTTATGACGGGAATCATTGCGACTGCTGAATCATATTTTTACACTTAAGTGTAAATAGTGAAAAAGCTAAACGATATAGGTGAATTCATACCTGGGTGTACTGGACCTGGCGACCGCCTGCACCATGTCCCAGGTGACATCTGTAGAAAGGTTAAAAAACACCAAGTATTACACAGACAATTTTTTTAATTTCGTTTTTATTTCAATCTTTTAGACCTAGTGCATTATACTAATTGCAGCGCAATTCTTCATTTTCCTTGTCATTTCATTTATCGTCATTTGTCTTGCGTGGCGACGTAAACAAATTCACATCCTTATTTTGTCCCTCATAAACTGGCAACTAAGGGGTTATACCATAAAGGTCATCCCATTGATGAAATAATTAAAAGCAGGTTGAAGGGACATCAGAAATATAGACTTCCGTAAGTGGAATTGATACGCCATTACGACTCTTTAGTAGGTTTTTTTTTTATAAAATAAGGGTAACAAACGAGCACACATTCCACATGATGGTAAGTGGTTGCTGTGGCCCATATACACTTACATCTATCCTTGATTACGAATCAAAATCCAGATGCGTCGTCACTCCCGAGGACTAAGATGGAATGCCTAGTTTCCAGTAAAAGGTATCTCCGGTTCTCTACACTAATACAGCAGCATTAAGCAGCTATTTTACGCTGGTAATCTGTGAGAGCGTGGTCCATTCGTGCTACAACCATAATATATTGCAGCGAGACTCTATTACGTATAAATAGCTGCAGTTACCACGTATAAAACAAATGAATTAAAAAAATCTCACCTGTCTAAACAAATACGGCGGCCTGTACTGAAACGGGATCGGGTTTACATTTCTATTTCTGTTCATTCCCTCGAATCTCCTCTCTCCCTCACTCTTGTCTTCGGAGTTACCGCCTGGCCTTTTTGGGTTGAATGGGGTATTGACAGGCTTGTCGGTGGGCTTGTTCTCTGGTTCCCTATCTTGTCTCTGCCTGTTCCTGTATTGATAGTCGTATCTATTGTCGTGACGGTTGAATTGGGAGGTGTATTCGTAGGCACGCCGATTGTCTTGGTGGTCTGCAAGAGTTGTTACAAAGTTCCTGTCATTATAATTATAAATAAAAAGATATGGGAAAATTAATAAACAGGGGAACTGGTTAAATTTTTCTTAATCCTTACTTTTGTCAGAGGATCAGATCAATAAAGAAATACCTTAAATTAAAATTTTTATAACCCCTGAAAGAAAAAGAGCTGGCGCTTTTCAAATATTTCAACAGATTTTCTTGACACATGGGTAAGAACACTCTCGATTAACGGCGGCTCTTCACGTTGGCCAACACACTGGCGAATGTGTTGGCCAACAACGATGGCCATCGTATAGAGCGGGTGTTTAAGCTACGTTGGTATGTATTGGAACGATGACCCATAAGTTGGCGCGAGATCCGTGTGGTGTCGGTTTTTTGCAAAAGATCAAAGGGTTGTGGCAGAGTATTGGCCGTCGCGTCCACACGTTGGGCGCACGTTCAGTTTGCTACGAGCTCCCAGAGTGATTGCACGCACCTGATTTAAATTTTATATGCACGCATCGTAACTAGTGTCTACATAACGGCAGTAACAATGACCAATGAAAAAACTTTTCGCTTTATAGAGCCCTACCAAGCCGAAAATTGTTTGTAAAACACAAGTCTTTTTAAAAAAAAATGTTATTATACACTAGGATTTTCTCCTGTATCGTGGAGGCAGTTTAGAAACATAAATTGCATAAGGACTAACATCCAGACCCGGAGAAATTATGTGTAGGCTATACAAATACTTGTTCCGTGCGGGATTCGAACCCGCGGCCCCCAGGGCAGCAACTCATTGCTAAACCACTACGCCACGGAGCCGTCAAGAAATATAATTTCTTTTTTCCATTTCTTTTTGATCACCCTTATCTTATACACATTCACGTTGTAGTGATTAATTGTGTATTAATTTATTTATTGATGTATTAATTGATTTATTAAATATCTTAAAATCTATAATATATAATATATATTAAAATCAAATTAAAAAGTAGGATACTAAAATCATGTTTTTACTGTCTTTATTATTCCCTATTAGTTACTTTATTTCGAAGAGCGAAGTCACCTGTTACAGGCATTATTTTGCTTACTAGGTGACCTCGATCACTGATCATATAATGTAACTAATGTTTGACGAAATAAATTATTTATTATTATTATTATTAAGTTTTATTCTATAATTATATAATAAGAATAATCCTTTTTAAAAAGGTTTCGTTTAATAAAATTTGACAACAGTTTCATACACAGGCTTCGAATATTTTCCAGGCTTTAGTTGTAAAAGTGTTAATTATACCTATGCCTAGGTGTGTTAATGTTTATATAGTTCACTTATCTGTATAACGTTAGTGTATAATAAAGAAATATTAAAAATTTATATTAAAAATATTAAATATAAAAAATAGTGAAAATTAAATAAAAAAATAGTGGTATGCTGTGAATAAATAAACTGCAGCAACTGTTAGCGCATCAATAATCATTTTAATAAATTCGTCTGCACATTGGCCTGAACCGAAGCAAACTGAACGACCTTCCAACGTGTGCACGCGATCATAATTTCTTGGCCAATAACTCTGCCAACACATTCGCCACTGTGTTGGCCAACGTGAAGAGGCGCCATAAGACACCTTTCAAATGAAAAAGAACTTAATCAAAATCAGTTCATTCGCGTTCAGGAACCGTGATGCCACAGCCAGACACACAAATATACAGATACACACTACAAACATATAACACCCCTCTGCTTTTGTCGGGAGTTAAAAAGAGCGCTACGTACATTGCAAGTGACGCAAAACTCAATGCAAAACCACGCTCAACCTATTGTAGTAACACGCACTCACCATACACATATGCATCTCAAGTCATCAGCAACAAACAACATAGTAAATGAAACAAATTTTTACGTCCCGATGTCATAGTTAGCCCGGCTACCTTCAGTTTTTTAATATTAATTTTTGGTTCGATTTACGCAGAATGAGCTTACAGTATCTTGAAGTCTAGCAGTGGTATACTTGGGTTTGGATTTAATTTTGTTAATTATAGGATCCCAAGCAGATGGGAGCACCCATTCATCTTCTCTATTGAAATTAGGATGTTTTTTAATTTCAGTAGCCTTGCGAATCACCCTTGGTAGGAATCGGTGTTCTTTTGCGAGGATTTGTGGTTTATCAAATCTAATGTAATGGCAGGGACGATCTTGAACTTGTCTTCTTGAACTGCAGACTTCCCGATACGTCGGTGCTTCACGTGCAAGAACTGACGAACTGAACTGAACTTGCCTCCTCTGACAACACAGAAATAATAATAGCCATTCAAACTGTAAGGAATTATTAGTAGATAATGTTTAGTAACTAATACGGCTTCCTAAATAGATACGGCATCACTTACATTCGTTGATTATCGCTTACTTAAATTAAGTATTACCTAATTATATCTGTCTCTTTCTATTGTCATTTATTGAAAAGTGACAGAGCAACTTGAAACATTTGAACGTCGATTTTAATAAAAATGGCTCATGCTAATTTAATTTAGGTATTCCGTAGAAAATAAAGACTTTCACACATGAGTGAATTTTTTTTACAACAAAATTAAAAAGGTCGACGTTCACATTCGTATATATAACATTATTTTTAAATAGTGCACTCACAGTTAGTCCTCGCTTGCATGTTCCTTATGGAATTCACTATGGCACGAGCCGCAGAACTGAGTTGGTTATCATCATTAGGTGTTCGTCTGTAAAAGAAAAAACGATGTTTTATATAATAGTCATCTTTTTAAACTTAAAAAATTCCGCTGTGCGAGTGTTTGTAATTTTTCTCCAAACAGCTTAAACGATTTTGATGAAATTTTTATAGGATAACCTGGGGATTTACATGTAGGTGAGATAGTCAGCTGGGTGCTTCTAAGCTATATATGGACCCGGTAGGTGGCGCTGTTATCGAAACGCGGTAATCACCTTTCGGAAGCTGGTGCGGATCACTAGTATTAGTGTAAATATAAGTAAATATAAATCTTGGAAATTGTTAAGATATTTAGGTTTTTAATATTTTCCCTATTGCACATTTACTTGATATCTAAGTAAAATAAAAGTAAAGTAAGTTATAGCCTACATTCGTCCCATAGCTGGACACAGGCCTCTTCTCATTTCTGATTTCTCCAAGATGTATTATTAATTCGGTTAATTCACGGAGATCTTCGCGAAAGGTTTTTATGGCAAGGTAGTGTCCGCGGCGCAGCTCTAATGTGTGTAGGTGGACGTCACATGTCTTCGCTCAGACATGCAGGTTTTCTCAAGTTGTTTTTCTTCACAGCAGAACTCGTGGTAAATGAGCACTTAAAATTTCAATTAAGATTTAAGAACTCATTGGTGCCGGCGGGTATTGAGCCCGGTTTACTAGTGTACTGAGAAATTTATGGCGTATTGCTCTAGATTATTACCCAATGTTATCACAAATGTGAATCTATTGTTTTCTTTCAAACGAAAATGGAAAGCCTACATTGCCAAACTATCACACGAATATATGTAACTATCATAACAATTACGACTTCCTCGTAGGTCTACTGGTCGTGAGCACGACTGCTGATCACATGGTCGGGTTAGTCCTGCCTCGGGCCAAAATCAGTCGTTGGGCACATCAGCCTGAATTAAGGAAGTTCGCCCCCGTGCCTCGGAAAGCACGTAAAGCCATTGGTCATGCGCCTGATCTCTCTTGGTCGAGTCGATTTGCTGTCGCATAGGACTATGAGCGTGAGGGAATATAGAGCTTGCGTATAAGCACAGATGTGCTCGCACACACACCAGTGCTCAATAATTCTGTCCTGCACAGATGACTAGTTTTTGCTGAGACAGTCCACGTGACTGAAATTCACGCGGCCAGGCTATTAAATTATTTTAAAACTTTTAAATTAAATCATTAATATAAATAGATAACTTTAATGATCTCTAGTAGTGGATCTAGAAATGATAAAAACAACTTCGCCACGTTCATAGCGCCCTTGCTCAGTCGTCACAGTTCATTCAATTTCGACGCTTGCTAGCAATCCTTAGCTTTTAGCTTCAGCCAAAACATCGTCCCATTTTGGCCGAAGGTGTTTTTTTTTGGCGAAAGGTAGCCGAAGCCGAAACGGAACGCAGTATAAACTTACAGTATCTTGAAGTATTGCAGTTGTATGCTTGGGTTGAGATTTAATTTTATTAATTATAGGATCCCAAGCAGATGGTAGCACCCAGCCATCTTCTCTATTGAAATTAGGATGTTTTTTGATTTTAATAACCTACCTAAATGATTTGATTAATTTTATTAAAAAAAAAGTTTAAAACGTGTTTTAAATTGTTGTTTCTTTATTATTAATATATTCTTTATTATTATATATATATTCTTAGGAAGCCCTTATTTATTAAAAGAAATGTATATTTCTTTTAAGAAATAAGGACTTGCTAATCACAGATGTTCTGCAGTATCTTTTTGTAGACGAAATGAAAAGAATCGCCATAATATGATGGCTTCTCCTATAAGATAAGGAAAAAGCTAAAAAAAACTGGCATTACTTACGTCATGACCCTCCCGTTGAAGTGATTATTCATGGGATAGTTGCCAAGAATGCCACTGCCGCTATTTCTCCTCTTCCACTCGTCTCTTTTGAAGCCTCTATCGCTTTCTCTTTCGCTTGTATTCAATTGTGCCATTTGTTCTTTAATCTGCTGTATTTTCGCTGCAATTTCGTTGGAGTTCTGGCGGCTGATGTTGCGATTCACCTCTCTGTTTGGTGTTGGGTTTGAAACTTCGCGGTTCACGCTTTTGTCCTCGAACGGCGCTTTTTCGTCTGGCGTGTTTCGAGCTGAGCCTGATATAGAGTTGTGTTTTGACAGTCTATGGTTACTCGTTACGCTGTTTCGACGCGGTGCTTCTATCTGCTTGTCTATGACCGGGTACACTGGTTGGCAGATTGGATACGGTTGTGGTATCACCTGGTTTAAATGGTTTTTAATTTTTAAGTACATATTTCAAAAAAAATTATAACTCCTTAAAATTTATAATCAAACATTTATTTCCTTTTTTACCGACTTCAAAAAGGAGGAGGTATTCAATTCAACTGTGTTATTTTTATGTGTGTATCTTTTTTGTGGGTGAACCGATTTCGATGATTCTTTTTTATTTGAAATCTGGTGCTTTTCATGTGGTCCCATATTAATTTGATAAAGGTGTGACCAATAGTTTTTGAGTTATTTACACAGTGGTAGAGCCACGCGGAAGCTTTTGCTGTCGCACGGATGGGCCGGCTCGTACCGGGGTGGTACCACGACCTCACAGAATACCAGCGTGAAGTAGAGATTTACCTCTGCATTTCGCTTGGTGAGTGCTGGTGGCCAGAGGCCCTTTTTACTGGAAATGAGGCATTCCATCCTAGTCCTCACGGGTGACAACGCATCTGCATTTTGATTTGTAATAGAGGATAGATGTAGATGTCTATGGGCCGCAGCAACCACTCACCATCAGGTGGACTGTGGGCTCGTTTGTCACCCTATCGTATTAAAAAAAATTCTTAATAATTTAAATTGAAGTCGGTTGTACAAAGTTTTTAATTTTAAATTACATACAAAATTTTTAATTTAATTACATAGATTGGCATGTTCCTATGTTTTTTTTTTCATAAATGAATTAATTATTTAAAAACTAGGAATCTTTTAAAATTGACTATTTGTTCAGCCGTTATCAAACATCCAGCAAATAAATTTAACGAACATAGAAATTAAAGAAATACATATTTATAGCCACAATTATTGTTATTGGATTTTTTTTTAATTCATACCGTTTTGGAGGCGGAAACAGGCAAATAGGAGATGATGGTTTCGTTAATTTATCGTATGGATAATCTAATCAGTTCGAGCTGCAGTTGTCAAATCTTCAATGAGTTTGATTGCCTTGGCTGCATTGCCTCTTAGCATAAGGCGTGAATGATAAATGCAAATGTTTCTTATATAATTAGGGTGTAACCTCACCGGCGGGTATACGACGTTATACTGCGGATATACGTTGGGGTACACGACCGGGTACAGCTCATGTACCAGTAACTTGGGCGGCGCTACCGAAGGCATTGGCCACTGTACCGCTTCCTGGTATTGCTGTGGTTACAAAAAAATTGAAGGCTCGTTATTGCAAATAGTAAAAATTAAGACATTGTGTTTCATTGAAATATCCTTCAATTAATAGACATTCGTGCAACGGTTTCTTTAACCATTTTATCTACTCATGGGATATGCTGGCCGTTAACCTTAGCCATCAAAACACAATTAAAAAAAACATATTACAATTATAAATAGTTTTGAGATTAATATTATTTTATATTAAAAAAAGGATGGTTCTACTGTTGATAGTTAGGTAATTAACACCACAATTTACAGATCAATTCTTATATTATATACTTTCACCGACCGGGTAGTGTGGGATGTGCTGCGGTAGGATTACATTGCTGACGGGATATTGCGGCACCTCCACTTGTCCGTACGCCACGTTGTAACTGTAAATGATACAAAAAATAAATTAAATTATTTGACAAATAAGTGCATGATTTGATTTGCAAACAATGTTTTGTTAAAACTAGAACTAGTAGTAGTCCCCCCCGTGATCATGGGTTGCTGTAAAGCACCCGAAACGTCGGGAATTAAAATAGTAAATTAAACGCGATAAAATCCGTAAAAATAGTTTTATTCAACTATAACTAGTTGTTAAAGTTAAAAAAAATTTATTCAATATTTAGTTTATTTTAAGCTCTTATAAAGGTCATAACTTTATTACGAATATATTAAAAAATAAGGCAAAAGTTAATCTTTAAGAAAACATATTTTAAAATACAAATAAATTTCTCATTATATATTGTAAATAATTTAGATAAATTAAAAAGTGTAAGGGACCATATGTGAGTTTTTCTTCTAATGTCAAATTCTAACTATTAAATATCACGGATTGGTGAAGGGGGGCAGTATTACCCGTGCTAAATTGTCAGTCCTCTGCTCCCCAAACCCATCTGCACAGTCAGGAATATTTTTAGAAAACCCTATATAAAACAGTGGACTTTAAAAAGCTTTTAAAGAAGATAGTAAATTTAAAATTAGTTTAAGTACATATTCAATTTTAATTTATTATCTTCTTCAAGTCAAATTTAATATATGTTTCAGTCACTAGATTTGAATCCGATTCGACGTCAAGATTAGTGCCAAAACAAAAATAATTTGTTTTCAGGTTTGGTTGAGTTGTGATTGTCTTATTGTTGTATCGAGTAAACGTGTTTTATCATCGTCCAACATGATGAAGATATATCGTCACCGATACAGGCTCACCGAAATTAAAGCAATGAAAAATGTATGGGGCGACCGACCTATGATGCTTTTTCATTGACTGACACGACACAAATACATCTTGTCGACAGGTTATCGACGATAATAGTCGGTACCACATCTACTACACACAGAATCGTCTCGATAAAATCAATATTGTGTGATGTAAAAACACACAAATGCATTTGTTTCAGCGTAACTAAAGCGCATAAGAGAGCCAGTATAATTACAGACTGTGAGGTATTTCATCCCAGGCAACGCATCTGTGACCACCTTTGTTTGAAGTTGGTTGCAGGCGCGTACATATAATGTGCGTGGTATATATTTATAATAATTAATCTATTCAAAGTAATATATATATATATATATATATATATATATATATATATATATATATATATATATATATATTGTTTGTTTATAATTAATCTATGTTTAACAATGGAAAAACACCTCATATGAGGTAATTTATGGGCATGTTTGTGTTCAGCAGTGTATATTTAGGTTGTAATGTGATGGGTGAATGTGAAAATATATTTTTAATACAGTTGCTCAAAAAGTAGCTTATTGCAGGGACGTATAGCGTTCGGGACGTGGGCTATTACATACTCGAGCTTTTTTTTTTACCTTTTCCGAACTCGTGCGTTCTCTTTTCCAACTGTCAAAATAATGTCTATTAAAAAGAAAAAACCAACCACGAAGATTTTACTAAAAAAAAAATTCATAGAAGTTTTTATGATTCATGCAAATACTTCTAAAAAGAAGCTATTAATTTGTTTCAATATCAGATTTAATGATTTGAATCAATGAGTTAGGTTAGGTTTCATTTCATTTCATCTCATTAAATTTAATTTTCATTTCATATCAATAAAAAAAATTACTGAAGATTTGGCTGTATGGGCATAGTTCCCTTTGCCTACCCAGAATGGGTGAAGAAAACAAAAAAATCTCTGCTTATATTCTTTTACGGTTGGCGCCATTTTTCAAAAATGTTCTTTATTAAATTGCTTCATTTTTTCGCAACTGTATTAAAAATAGTTGTTCTGTACACGTGCGGAACCATCATTGCAACTTGTTCCGACTGTCAACCTTCACCTTCCGCTGCGCCTCGGCCCGGGTAGACATTTGTCGGAACTCTTTGCAATGGCAGGCTTTCCGCACTCGTAATGTAATATACTATTGTTATAAAAAGCAAACGCAAACGCACCCGCGGTGCGGGTGGTGCAAGGCGGCGGGCTCGCAGGCGCCGGCGCACGCGCCGCACGCCGCGCCCGCCGCGCCCGCCGCGCCCAGCTCCGCCGCGTACGGGTAGCTCGGGTCTGAGCACACAACGTACACACTTTTTAATCTAACTAACTTCAACAATACAACAGATAATCCACTGCAACAAAATTGAACAATAAGTTTTTGACGATCGACTGATCTTGATAATCGAGAACGACAACTGCAACTCAGGACTGCATTCTGATTCCTAATTTTCATAGATATAATACCTATTAAAATTTAAGAAATCATAATCCAGTATTCCCGTGTTTCCTCCTTCAAAACTAAACAAAACCTTTTTTTTTCTTCAAGAAATAGATAAAAATAGGTTATGTCTCTGTTGTTCTTTCAGTTTTAAAGTTTGTTAAATTTATTTAGTAGATGTCTAATAAGAGCGGTAAAAACATGGCAGTGGTAGATATAAATTGCGTTGTAAACAAATATTTGTTCTGATGTAATTATGCAGTGAGAGAAGAAACAGAGGAATACGTTTGTATAAACTAACCGCCCAGATATCACTTTTATAACTAATTTATAAGCTAGTGCTATCTTAATCAAGCTGCGATACCAGTTCGTTGTAAACCACAATACAGTCTTAGATAGTAAAATTAAATTAACAAGCTTAGTGGAAAAAATACCCTAATTTTTTTTGCTACGTCCATTGACACAAATAAGGTCTAAACCTTGTTTCAATATATTACTTTGAATACATTCTAGCACATCTACAGTATACATTTACGCCAAACAGTAATCGGGATCTACGGGTGGGTTTCATACCAATTCGGAAGGTGGTGTCGTTGGTGTGTGGCGATGGGGTGTGCTGTTTCGGTTCTTCCGCATGTGGCGGAACCATTTGTTGGAACACTGGCTGCATTGGTGCATCCTGTTGTGAAAATTACTACTTAATTGAATTTTTATATTTGTTGAAAACAATTTGAAACGTAGCATCAGGCACCTCATTTGGAATATTCAGTAAAAAAACATGTTAATGCAAATAATAATTACCTATTTTTTGATTTACAATTACTTCAAAAATCTTAGGTATTTGATTTGCTATTTTGGCCGGGCTGAAGTTGGCTCTTCGAGACATTCGCGTATACTGATCATGGCGGCCTGCCTTCGGATGTCCACCACTTCATATTCGCTCCTAAGACTGCTTAGGGAAAGTTTGTTTTGTCTATATCCATTATAGAATAAATTGAAAATTATGTTTATAATAAAAGTATCTTTTTTTATTGTAGGATAAGGGTGACAAGCAAGCACACAGTCCACCTGATGGTAAATGGTTGCTGTGGCAGACATCTACATCTGTAATCGTTTGCGAACCAAAATGCGGATGCGTTGTCAGCCGTGAGGACTAAGGCCTGAATTCCTCTTACGGTGACATCGGTCGCGCGTACTAATGTACATTGTGTTTTATAGAGCCTCACACTAGGGCCCGTATTAATAAACGTTACTCAGCTCAAGTATACGCACTTGAGTACAATCTTGAGGTTATGATCTTATTAATAAACATATCTCAAGATGCGGTATAGGTTTACGATATCAGCTGAGTGCCATACTGATTAATAAATGAAAAACGACTCTCAAGTGTGTATACTTGAGTGCAAGTCACAGAACAGTATTCCTAAGCACAGCGGTTTGAGATACTGCTTTAATTTCGGAACGTTGTTAGCGCGATTCAGGCTTCGATGTGTTTCGACTGCGCCGCCACAATATCGTAATGAGGGCGTATCAAATGGTTACGCACTTGAGTACGTTGTTGAGTAACGTTTATTAATACGGGCCTAGGACGCTGACGACAGCGTGGAATAGTGCGAGCGCCCTCACTCTATTACCGACAATCCACGCGTGCACGTACTGACACGTAATGATTTGTACAAATATGCAAGAGCATAATACTGGCTAGAAGTTTTCAAGGCTTTTATTTCTTGATTACAATAATGAGGACGATAGTAAAAAAAGGAGATCGGTAAGTAAAAGACAATGTTAATAATCATAATTATTAACATTGTATTTTAGTTACCCATCTCCTTTCCGAAATCCACTTGGCAGACGACTATACCGTATAGAGCTTGGTATCCCACTATGGCATTTTATTTCTCGCTGACGTACGACGTTAGCATAGGGACCATACACAACCGACGTTCGAAGTCGAAAGATAATCGATACTAACAATAATCGAAATATGCGTTTTCGCATCTCTAGTCTTAGTTACCGCCCGTGCTTCCCGCTTTTAATCACCATTTTGTTCATAAAACTATACCTGCACAACTTCAGCCGGGCCAAGATAGTACGCGCGTACTTTATTTCTGCATTTAATTTAATATTATACACTCAAAAACTCAAATGTATTGCCGTAAAGAAAATTTTAATTCAGCATAATATTATTTAATTCATAAAACACTATCAATACCGAAGAAACCAAATAATCGACTTAATTATTTTTCATTAGCTGTGTATTCTCCTTGGAAAATAACTTTCTTTTTAAGTTTCTATCTCCATCTTCTAAGAGTGTGTCGTTTCTTCGTTATTGGCAAAACGCAAAATGATAATGCATCAAAATATTAGGTGCCATTTTTTAAGTTCTACTTCACATCATTTCTATCAAAATGAACCCACTACAATACGCAATAATAAAGAACAAAATCGTGTTTTAATCTCACAATTGACTTTTAGCACCAGACTTCGAGGTAAAACCCTGATTCAAAGAGTTTTTCAAAGGGCTGACTTTAAGTAAAAATATTACACTAATTCTATTGAGACCTAACTTAGAAAAATAATTATATATTTCGAATAGCTTGATTATGGTTTCCAAAAAATAAAATGCACATTTAAATGAATATTGAAATTTCGATAACTATAAAAATTTACCAATCGGCAAGGGTTCACATATGGAAAGGCTTGCGGCACCGGTGACGGGTACACCACATTGGTCAGCGACACAGGACCTAAACAAAAATATATTAAAATATAATATTCATAGGATACACCCCCTCTTCCGATTGGAATGTTGTGGTGAGAGAGAGAGAGAGAGAGAGAGAGAGAGAGAGAGAGAGAGAGAGAGAGAGAGAGAGAGAAAGAGAGAGAAAAAAAGAAGAATTTCCGGTTAAGTAAAAAAAAGCGCAGTTCATTCAAAAACGTTCTCAAACACCCCATTTCCTGAGTTATAGAACAAGTTGGTCCGCCCCGCTGTTTCAGGGTAGCAAAGCAAGGAGATAATAAATTCATTCATTCATTCATTACAGCCATAGTAAATCCACTGCCGCCCATAGACTTCCCATAGATTGCCTTATAGGGACATTATTTGCCATAGTAGCCACGCTTGGCAAGCGGATTGGCAACAGCAGTTTTCTTTTAGGAAGCCGCTGCTGCCCATCTCCTATTCCATTTCGATTTCACCTTATTTATACTTTTTTGTGTACGCCTATTTCTGGCAAATAAATGCATTCTCTTTCTTTCTTCTTAATCCCTATCTCGTATTTTCCCACAGGATGACTACTTTATAATGCTGCCACATACTAAATAAGCATATTACTTAAAATTGCATTCAAGAATTTCAGCAGTGCCGGCGCATTGTGAAATTCACAAGCGCTTAGCTCTTGAGGTATCACATACTTTTCAAAATGGTTAACATTAGTTGGAGTACCTAACGAAATTGGTTTATAGTTATGTTACATTTAATGAATGGTAACACATTATGTCGGTTTAGTGCCAAAAAATACAAAATCTTGACCTGATACATAGGTGGCGCTGTGGTCGAGTTATTATTAAATTTGATATTTACACATTTCACAGCAAAATTCCGAATGAAACTAATTGCGCCACCTAACGGAAAGGGCCGGACTAAGTCTGCCGGACTAGTTAATTGTCAAATAAAAGTCAGCAAATTTCTGAGTCAATAATGTTGTAAAGAAAACAATTTTAGCCATAACTTACGTAGGTTAGGATCTGGAATAGGGACGGGCGCGACTTTGGCCTGCATCATGACGTTGTGTAGGTTAGCCATGTCCGCTTGTATGTACGCCGGATTCGGGAAGGCTTGTGGCGGTGACGTCACCTGACACAAATACGTCACTGATTAGATAATGATACCAGTTTCTCGGCTCCACAGAGTCAGTAATTCATTCTTGGGGCAATACGCTATTACAACAAAGTCCCTGAAAATATACAAGGTCTCTCTATCACAAAGTTTAAATATTTTAATAAACAAAAACTGTATAAAAAGGGTTATTATATTATAAATGAATACAGGGAATGAGGTGGTCGCTTCCAAGCAGTTTCTAAAATAAAATTTATAAATAGTCTGTACAACCATTCATGTAAAATTTACTTTAAAAAGTCCCGCTGGGTTTCTTGTTAGTTCTTCCCAGGACAGAGGTATTTTTTTCGAATCAGTGGTAAAGTAAAAAAATGACCTTCAATAAGATTTATACATGTGATCTATATTGAATGAAAAATTATTATTCTGAAATTAAAGAATCATTAAAAATGTATTTTTAACACAATCTTTATTTTATTTAGTAGTCTTATATAATTAATCTAATTTCTAACAAACTAGTGACCAGCAAGCCTATTCTCTATGTAGGTTTTATGAGCCATGGCAACTTTTATTGGAAAGCAATAGCATACGACACAGTGTACTACAAAGTGACAAGTGTTTTGATGTCAACAAAGTTAGGCCTGCAAACCCCATTCAGCTATTATGGTATAATATGGAAGTTTTGTATCTAGTATTTGCGTCTTGATGATTACGTGACTACATTGTCAGCGTACCACCGCTATTGATTTGTTGATCCGAGATCAACCGGCACAAATAGTTATGTAAATGTAAAGCATGATCCTATAGACCGAATTTGGGTCATGGCGGCAGACTCAACGAAGACTAGCCATCTGTGCAATGCCTCCTCTACACTACTCGAATGACGAAGTGCTCGTCGAAGTCGATCGCAGTCCGAAGAACGTGATTACACATTCGTGCTACTTTGTGAAGAGCTCAGTCGTCTTGAGTCGCCCGCACCCTTAACATGAATAACGTTCAAGAGGCAGCTGCTTTAGGTACACAATTGTGTGAACAGTACGACTCTTTGCGTATTTTATCGCATCTAGCACGGGGAGTGCTCTGAGGAATTGTTCGGACTAATTCCAAAATCTCGCGATACCATCCATACCATTTGGTGATTGGCTGTCAACCACTGTGCGATTTAGAAGTTTTCTTCCTCGCACAACTTCCCTGTGGAATCGACTTTTCGACACCAAAGAATTTTCCGGACCGATACGACTTAGGAGCCTTTTTTTTTATAGGATAAGGGTGACAAACGAGCACACAGTCCACCTGATGGTAAGTGGTCGCTGTGGCCCATAGACATCTACATCTATCTTCGATTAAGCGTCAAAATGCAGATGCGTTGTCACCCGTGAGGACTAAGATGGAATGCCTCGTTTCCAGTAAAAAGGGTCTCCGGTTCTCTACACTCACCATACGAAACACAACAGCGTTAAGCTGCTATTTTACGCTGGTATTCTGTGAGAGCGTGGTCCTTCCCCGGTCGAGCCGACCCATTCGTGCTACAACCATAATATAGATGCAGCATGGCTCTACCACGTATATAAAGAGCTTCAAGAAAAGAGCCTACTTTTTTTTTTAAAGGCCGGCAACGCATGTGCAATTCTCCTGGTATTGCAGTAGTTTGTGGGCGGCGGTAGTCACTTACCATCAAGTGACGCGCCTACTCGTTTTTGCCCCCTCTGCTATTAAAAAAAGATCGAAAATATGGTGATGGAATTAAATTGCCTCCACGTGGCAAACTTATTTATAGATTACAGTGGTTCAGATTAGAAGATACCGCACGTGTTAATTTATTTATTTATCTTTATATAACATAAATAATAAGAGAGGGCTATGCTCGGGGTTTCTCTGCGTGATCAACTTAGAAATGAGGATATCCGCAGTAGAACCAGAGTAACCGACATAGCCCAACAGATTAGTAAGCTGAAGTGGCAGTGGGCCGGCCATATAGCTCGAAGAACCGACAACCGATGGGGAAGAAAGGTTCTCGAGTGGCAGCCTCGTACCGGTAGGCGAAGTGTAGGGCGACCCCCCACTAGATGGAGTGACGACCTGGTGAGACATGCAGGAAGTCGATGGATGCAGGTGGCTCGGGACCGTGCATTGTGGCATTTCTTAGGGGAGGCCTATGTTCAGCAGTGGACTTATGAAAGGCTGTAATGATGATGAACATAAATAATATGGGGCCTTACTTAATGAAACCGACGCCAATTTAAGAAATGCCTAAAGTTGCTCTCTCTTTTCAATAAATAACCATAGAAAGTGATAGATATACAGATAATAATATTTCATTTAAGAAAGCGTAATCAACGATTATAAGTAAGGTCGATTAAACATTCTCCACCAATCAACCTTTGGGTGATACACAGATAAAGAAATGTAAGTGTGAAAGTTAATAAAAGCTAGAAATATATACTAACCTCACCATTCCTATATCCCTGTATATAATTTTGGTGAGCAACATATTGCGCTACTCCCTGTCCATCCTGTTGAGCCGTTTTGTTCAGCGATCTGTGATTTGCTGCTGCCTCATTATTTCTTTGATTTAAATTTTCGAAAGCCTTCTGCTGTTCCAATGACGGAGTCCTATGGCTAGGCGAGGCGTTATATTGCGGGTTTTCGTAAACAGGTCTTTGGTTTTGTGACGCTTCGTAAGCTCGTTGATTAGGGTCACAAGGAAGCCTCTGGTTAGTATCGTATATCCTCGGTTTCTCCGCTGATTCGTGTATTGGTTTCAGATTCGATGCGGTCTCGTAGTCTTGGCGTGGGTTGGCATCAACGATTTTCGGTTGATGCTGATCATCATATTGTGTTCTATTCGGAACAGTCTCCCCGTTTGTCATGGTTGTTGCGTCGGGACTTAGTTCCAGACGAGTTTTGGTTGGGCTTGCGAGGATCGAGTTTGGTCTCTCCTCTGGCTGAGGTGTTGCCTATGAAAAGAAAACGACGTATTATAAATATTAGTTTTTTTTTAATGTTCATGGGCCATACAATTTCCAGAGTTTCATACATTAAATAATATTAATAATAATAAAATTATATTTAATTTACAGTTTCAATAGCTTTACAGTCAAAAATCAAAACTGTTATTACAATTAATAATTTCCTATATTTACGCAAAAGCTAGACTTTGAATGTAACAAATTTTACGGAGTAAATAGCGTTTAATTTAAACCTTTTTATAATAACCAACATTTCAGGCGCTTAGGCTTTTAGCACCACATGTCACGAAAGTCATTTTCTTCCGTAACTTTGAGATTCACATAATCATGACCTAAGTTTATATACTAGGATAAAAGAAGTGGAAAATTAAATATGCGAACTCATTGTCTTTTATTAAAGAAGTCGCGAAAAATAATAAATAAGACTGGCGTTTTTCAATAGCGGAAGATCGATTATAGGTCACCTATGGTGCTACACGAATCAGTAACAAAGTAGTAATACCTTTTCAGCCGTATTCTTGTTACAAGACTCCTGCCGGCGACATTCACAGCAGCATTTAGTGCGGCACTCTTCAGTTGGTTGGCATTCACATTCTGTGAACGTTACGAAAGATTTACCACCAGTGTTTATTTTTAAATAAGGGTACATAACGTACACCAAGTCCATCTGATGTTAAATATATGGGACAGTAATAAGACAGAAATTATTAACTTTAATTAAAAACACACTAATATTAAGAAAATTAAGAAAAATAAACTATAAATATTGAAGTAAACTAATATATTTATATAATAGTTTACTTACGTTATATTAAGCTTACCGTTATCCATAAATGAGTGTTGTTTTTCTAACCTGCCTCTTCTCTTTTCATTATTGGGATCTGACTGAAAAGAATAAAATGGGCATGTTATAAATTCTTCCTTTTCATCATTAGCCCACAAATGTCCACGGTAGACATAATGTGTCCTTCATTCATTTCTAGTGACACGATCATTCAAGTAGTGATTCGTCTTACGAACCGGGTCATTCGGGTCGATCATACAAATTAATCAAGTTTCGAGTTTCACTACTCTGTGATCTGTGAGACCTGCTCGATTATGTCGACCATCGGATATTACTATACTCATTGGTCGTAGTTCGTATCAATCGTTAGTTCCGGAACGTTCAAAAATGTAATTCCAATCATCAATACTTAGGTGCAAAACGGGTCAAATGAACGAATCATTCACGATTGAAACATGTCTAGTCCACAGCTGGTCATGGGTCTTACTTGTTGCAGAGACGATGTTATAAACTATAATTAATTGTAACTTTTAATTAAAGGTTTATCAACACATTTCGGATTGTGGGTGTAGTAAGAGGTCACTATATTAAAGATATAAAAAGTTTTTTTTAAAACGTTACCGGCCACACTAGGATTTTCTCCTGTATCGAGGGGGCAGTTTACATACAAAAATTTCACAACGACAAACATCCAGACCCATAAAAATTATTTGTAGGCCATACAAATACTTGTTCCGTGCGGGATTCGAACCCACGGCCCCCAGCGCAACAAGTCATTGCTAAGCCACTGTGCCAAGGAGCCGTATGGTTAGGTTCAAAACCAACAGGTAATAAATCAGTGCTATTTCAATAAAATATTGATGCCGGACGGCACGGTTATGGAGTGCGTTTGGTAGCGGTTGTAGTCTCGCAAATTTGAATCCCACACTGAATACGAGGGGCACACTGAAATGATCGGGAATAGAATATTTCGGATTGAGTTACAATAAAACTTTTTTACAATTTGAATACTGGTCTCTTAATGACATACAAACAATTAAAAAAAATGTTTAAAAACAAAAACTAGGTTGGTTTAAAGTTGACACATCGTTAACAGAAATGGAGTTCACGCGTGAACATTTCCGTGCCATAATTTATCACAATTTTGGTCGCAGCTTATCTCAAGATAAATGTCTCAGCGAACTTGTTTCGATTTATGATGTTGAAGCACCGAGTCAAACGATAATATACCGCTGGTATGCCGAGTTCCGACGCGGTCGTGTGTCGCTCAGCACTGTTTCTTCTGCAGGTCGACCAAGAACAGCGGTCACACGCCTGAAAACATCGCAGCTGTGCGAACTATTATATTAGATGACCGTCATGTGACATACGAGCAGATTCGGTCTGTTATCAGTATCAGAATGACTCTAATTCAATCGATATTACATAATGAGTTGTGTGTAAGAAAGCTAGTTTCCCGCTGGGTTCTCCACAATTTGTCCGAAGAGCAAAAGGCGGTTCGTGTGTGTAGATTGGTGCCGGAATACTCTACAACGCTTCAACGGTGTGAAGTCAAATGCCGTTTATAATATCGTCTCAGGGACGAATCATGGATTTATTCATACGAACCTGAAAGAAAACATCAGTCAGCAGTTTGGGTCATCGAAGACGAGGTCAAACCAACGAAAGTGGTTCGCACCCACAGCGTGTCAAAGAAAATGGTCGCTACGTTTGTCTCGAAAAAGGGGCATGTTGCTACAATTCCTTTACAGGAACGCAGAACGGTTACCGCGGAGTGGTATATCACGGTTTGTTTGCCAGAAATTATAGTCGAACTCCGAAACAATAACCCGAAACGTCGCATCATCTTACATCACGATAATGCCAGCTCCCATACGGCTCGGAAGACAAATGATTTTTTGAAGCAGGAAAACGTTGAACTGATGAGCCATCCTCCGTACAGTCCTGACCTGAGCCCAAACGATTTCTTTACATTCCCTAAAAGGAAAGATTTATTACGCGGTCAACGGTTTGTAGACCCCAAAGCAGCTGTGGAAGCGTACAAATCAGCCATTTTGTCAACATGAACTTCAGACTGGAATCACTGTTTTAATGATTGGTTTGCACGAATGGAAAAGTGCATTAAGTTGAACGGAGAATACTTCGAAAAACAATAAAATACAATGTAGCTATACCGTGCATGTGGTTTTTTTTTTATTACCGATCATATCAGTGTGCCCCTCGCGTATAGCCAATGAAAAAAAAATTAGCTCTTTTATATTACGCGCATTATTAATGTTTAAACGCAAACTCGATAAGAAAAATATTGAATGGATTACCTTGAATTGATCGTTTTGTAAATAGACACTGGCATCGTGCAATATAGGCGGATTAGCTGGGTCGAAGTGGTAAAGGCTTCCGTCAGGATTGGTGAGTGGACGTCCAGTCTGAATAAAAATATTGAAAGATTATTAAATAACATGTTTCCCACAAATTTCCTAGGTGGTAGGATGCCCTTTCAGCTTAGGCGTCCGTTTGGGTAGGCCCTTTTACAGATGACAACGCATTTGTAGCTCTCTTTGTTTAGAGTTGGCTGCAGGTATCCATGGACTGCAGTAGCCACTTGTTCACAAATGTTCGCTGCTGTATCATGTTGGTGTATGAATTTGAGGTTAATTCTAAATGTCAATTATTTATAATATGTAGGTTATTTGTAAAATTCCACGTTAATATGTAAGATATTCCACGTTAATATGTTGGGTATAACAGGACCGAGAAATTTTTATGATAGATAACAATTCCATGAATCACAACAGATTTGAGTAAAAACGCAAAGTGAAGAAGGCTAAAATCACAAATGTAAGATATTAAGGATAATGTTACTATGTTTTTTTGGAAGTCGGTGTAGGCTCTAAAAACTCATACAATAAATGTTAGGATCATTCGCAACTTAAAGTAATGACAGAAGAAGCGAACTTACAATCCATGTAGAGTTGTAAGTTATCTACTTCTGTTTTATATTAAAAAAAATGACACGGAATATCGATAATTTAAAAAAAACTTGTGAAAATAACAAACAGTCCTGTATTGGGATATTATATTATTATTATCTCATTTACCACGGGGGGTGCTCTGAAGAATTGTTCGGACTAATTCCAGCCGGACAATTTCACCATCGCACATCGTGACAAAATTCGCGATACCATCCATACCATCTGGATGACTGGCGGTCCACCACTGTGTGATTTAAAAGAAGTTTTCTTCCTCGCACAACTTTCTTATGGAATCGACTACCACCGGCGATTTTTCCGGACCGATACGACTTAGGGACTTTCAAGAAAAGAGCGTACTCCTTTTTAAAAGGCCGGCAACGCATCTGCAATTCCCCTGGTGTTGCAGTTGTTCATGGCCGGCGGTAATCACTTACCATCAGGTGAGCCGTATGCTCGTTTGCCCCCTATATATATATATATATAGTGCCGCAAGCATATAGACGTTTGTTACCTGTGGATGTATAACTAATGCTCCAGGCGGTACGGCAGACAGGTCTGTGACCGCCCACACTAACGTTCCACCTTCAATCCCTGGCTCCGGACTAGCACCCCCTGAAAAATAATGGCGTAATTTGGAAACTTAGTGTATATATTGTGACATTAGCCTTATCCTTATCATCATTACTACAGTCCTTTGCAAGTCCACTGGTGTACATAGGCCTCCCCCAAGGTGACATACACAACGCACGGTTCTGAGCCACCTGCGTTCATCGACAGTAGTCTATAAGTAAAGAAAATTCAAACTTGAATATAACAGTGCTTCTAACCACTCTATGGTACCTACATTGGTCACTAAGTCTTAAGTCACTTTGTCACCATCTAGGTACAAAAGCTACTGTTAATTTGCTTGCAATGTCGTAATTATCTTTAAATCTGTATTCCTCTTACCCGTAGGCGACGGTGTGACGGAATCTGTACTCCTCAAACTCAGTGTCTTGTAACCGGAGCTAGATGGGGAGAGACGCCAGCTGCTCGACGCCAGGTCACCTGCGATAATTCCAATAGTTAAACGAAAACAATGACTATATATTAATTTGCATGCATTAATTAATGTTAATTTAAAATCTGTCAAATAACTTAATTTAAAACACCAAATTGTAAAATTTTTATTCCTAGCAAATTAGATTAAAATAAATATTTAATATGAAATTAGAATTAGAATTCATTTTGCTGGGTTGGGTGTAGGGTATATCCGAAAATAGGTACAAGTGAGAAAATAATGTTATTATTATAGATGTAAAGATTTATTAAAATTTTGTGATGGATCAAATCGTAATACATTTGTCAAATCAAATGGTCGAATAATAACTGAGATGGAAGTCAATATCATTTCTTCCATCTAAGATGTTATTTGGTGCAGTGGTTGGTATTAATCTGGACAATTGTACAACTTCATTAGTCTTCGACCTCGCTGCCTGGTGGTCGCTGGGTAAATCTAAGCTACGTGGATTTACCCATAGCTTTATAGGATTTCTTGTTAAAGCCTCTCCGTTAAAGCCCTCTGCTGGACATGGATCTTTACCATTATATATCGTTCAACCGTCAACTTTTAGGTTGTCCTGTTTACGTGTATTTTTGCCTAGAAGTCTGTCTAGATAGGTGTCATAGGTTGTTGTGATCTGCTCTTAAGGGTACGAGTCGAGAGTTTGAGAACAACTATAGTTGCAGGTATTCCATTTTAATCCTTAGCGGATTTTCCCTAATCATTGCAGTTAAAGTTACAGCCTATATACGTCCCACTGCTGGGCACAGGCCTCCCCTCATTTCTGAGAGGGTTTTAGGACAAGGAAATGTCCGCCACGCTGCCCCAATGCGTGTTGGAGAACTTCACGTCTTCGATTTTTTTTTCTTATTTCTCAGACATCAGGTTTCCTCACGATGTTTTCCTTCACCGCCGAGCGTGTGATAAATCAGTACTTAAAATTGCAATAAACAATTTCATTGGTGCCGGCGGGGATCGAACCCTGGTTGCTCGCGTACTGTGAAATTTACAGCGAGCGGTAACCATCTGGGCTACCACGGCTCATCATTGCAGTAGGAAGGCGTTTTGGCCATCGTAGTACCAGACATGTCGCTATTCTCTATCGTTTAGTCCAAGTATTTTACATTTGGCGGAATAGTTATACTACCATCTATCAGAAGTCATAAGGTCTTAGTTGTATTTCCCTTAGTCGCCTCTTACGCCTTTACCGTACCGTTCCGCTTGGCAGCTAAGTTACAAACGCAGTTTTTTATTATTTTGAGTAATTATTAGGAATCCCATCTTCTATTTTGTTTCCCTCTGTCGCCTCTTACGATACCAACGGGACGATATGGGGTAGTGGATATTCTTACACCGCCACTACACGGTAAGCGTCGTCACTACACGGTAACCACTACCAGCTAGTAATAAAAAAAAATCTAAGTAAAAGTTGAAAAATAGGTACAAGTAAAACATTTAAAAGCAGATATGTTTATTAATGTCAATGCGAATCGCATTATACAGTTCGTTAGGCCGTAGGACAACATGTAGCAAGAGTCTCATACCTTGCTTGCTGAGAAGGCGTTGATTTTGGGTATTCTGTATGATGGTGACGTTCGGGTTGGCGTTGTCGGCCGCGTAGCCGCCAAAGCTGTGACTCTTGGACACCACGCCTCTAACCCGGGGCGCCTCGTACCCGCGGTTCTCCAACGACTGCACCTGTAGACCATTTAAATTATATTCTCCTCCTTTATTAATCTCTCTTAATCCTGCATAACTTATTAAATTGAAATATTTGCCAAATACGTGAGGCAAGATGGGTTGGTAAGTACAGTACCAATATTTTTACAATGATTTTTTTTTAAATTACTTTATTCCTATTATACATATTTTAAAAAAACGTTTATATTGTTGTGTAGTGGCGGTGTAAGGATATCCACTATCCCATATCGTCCTGTCGTGGATGTCGTAAGACACGAGACAGGTAATGGGGAGCAGCATCTTCCTGATAACAACTGAAAATAATAAAAAACAGCGGTTGACAATCCGCTCGCCAAGCACGTCATCTATGGCGAAATCCCCCCTATGAGGCAATCTGTCAGGGAGGCCTATGTTCAGCAGTAGACTTTTATAGTAGGTAATGGATATTATACACATAGAGCATATTTTCTGTCTTGTAGTGGCGTTTTAGATATATAAAGTGTACATGAATAACGAGGACCGGAAAAAAATATTTGTACTCCATACAAAACTTTTCCTTGCGCGATTTAATCCCACATGTAATCGGATAGCCACTGCTATCCTGTCTTATCTAGCGATTATTAGTATATAAATAAAGGTGGGCAGCACTGATAGTAAGGCCGAAATCCCGAGAAGCACTACCTGAATTGTTAAAATGTTAAAAAAAGTCAAGTAAGTACTTACTTTTACAAGTTTATTTCGTCCCTCAGATGTCAGAAGTTTCACGGGTCCGGAGTTGAGCCATGGCCACTGTGATTCGTCTTGTGTACAATTGTCCTGAAAAAGGAAATTTAATTTATTCCCAAATTTAGAAAGCTGGTCCACTATTTTTGTATAAAGAAGAAATGTTTAACCTGGTAGAGCCACGCTGCAGCTATATTATGGTTGTAGCACGAATGAAAAAATAGCAGTGCAATACTGCTGTGTTTCATATGGTGAGTGCAAATAACCGGATACTCAATTTAATAGATAAGAGGCATTCCTCGGGTAATAAAGCATCTCAAGAATAGATGTAGATGTCTATGGGCCACAGTATTCATTTACCGTCAGGTGTGTGCTCGCTTGTTACAGTTATTTTATAAAAAGGTGTACGTAATACGTGTACATACAATAAACACGTGGTAGATGGTAGAGGCATGCTGCGGCTATATTAGTAGTAGGTCTAGTTGTAACACGAATGGGTCGGCTCGACCGGGGAAGGACCATAGAATACCAACGTAAAATATCAGCTTAACGCTGCTTTGTTTCGTATGGTGAGTGTAGAGAACCGGAGACCCTTTTTACTGGAAACGAGGTATTCCATCTTAGTCCTCACGGGTGACAACGCATCTGCATTTTGACTCGTAATCGAGAAAATATGTAGATGTCTATGGGCCGCAGCAACCACTTACCATCAGGTGGACTGTGTGCTCGTTTGACACCCTTATCCTATTAAAAAAAAAAACCAGTAAAGTTCGCAACTCACCGAGCTAAAGATGCGGCGCCGTACACGTTCGTATTCGCGTTCGCGTTGCTCCAAGGACTTGCTGCGCGCCGCACCTGTGCCGTTGCCGCCTACTTCTTCACCCGTCGCGGTCGATCGCTTCAGGATCGACCTTTAATTAAAACACTTATTAATTTGTCATACATCAAAACAAGCGTCTTCTACGAGATCCGACACGACCTTGAAGATCATGTAGCTTAAGTGATTAATTCAGTTCTTAATTTTAACATGAGATTGTGATTGGTTTTCCGGCTATAAGACGATGCTGCAGTCAGTGCTTAGTTCGGAACATTATTGCATTAGTTTTATCGTATATAGGCTTTTCCTACTCCACTCGGGCAAATGTCAAAGTTAGTGGCGTAATATGAGTTTCTGAGAAATTGACTTGTATTTGTGGCATTTGCTGTAGAAAATGTCGGTAAACAGAGTTCAAGTGGGATTAGTAGTCGACGAGATCGTTACGATACGAGTGTTGGTTCTTATATAAATTAAAGTTGTTTCAGTTAAAAATCGCAGCCATTGTTCTTAGATAGTGCTATCTCGCGAGGCGTACGTATACTTGTGACGCATTAATATGTCTTTAGACATTTTAAAGTTGCGCCAAAAATTTTTAATTTCATATGAAGGCGGGTTATCTTAATTGTGTGAGCAGATACACGTGCACGTCGTTTCCGTGTGCGTAAGCCCCGGAATGCTCAATATCATAAGAGCAGGCTCTTATGATATTAATCTTATTATATTCTTATGACAAGAGGTGACACAAGAAAATAATAAAAAAAGCTGTAGTTGACAACCCTAATTAAACTATGTAATAAAAGTCCCGCTGGGTTTCTTGCTGGTTCTTCCTAGGACCGAGGTATTTTCCGAAACAGTGGTAAATAAAAAATGACTTTCAATAAGTATTATGTGATAATCAATATTGAATAAAAATCATTCTATTCCATTCTATTTTATTCTATTAAGTAGGAGTAAATTAAATATGTATATATATAATAAATAATAAAATTATATATGTATATGCTAAATTTCGACGTAAGACAGGTCTTACGTCGAAATTTAGCATTGACTATCACCAGCATGAAAAGTAAAAGGAAAAAATTGTTGCTGGAAATTTTTTATGTTTATACTTGTTTAAATAAAAGTAGTGGTGTGTTAGAGTTTAATTGTAGCATGTATTACATTCATTGCTGTACAATTCGTAATTATGCCAAATTGACTATGATATCGGGATGTCAAACACTACAGTTACGTAATATATAATGCAGTTCAGAGTTGTCCTGCAAAGCACTTAGAGATGGTTACTGGTAGAGCCACGCTGCAGCTATATTATGGTTGTAGCACGAGTAGGCCGGCTCGGTCGGAGTAAGACCACACTTTCACAGAATACCAGCATAAAATAGCAGCTTAATGCTGCTGTTTCGTATGGTGATTGCAGTGAACCAAAAACCGTTTTAACTGGAAACGAGACATTCCATCTCAGTCCTCAGGGGTGACAACGCATCTGCATTACGATACTTAATTGAGGATAAATGTAGATGTCTATGGGCTACAGCACCCACTTGCCATCAGGTAGACTATATGCTCGTTTGTGACCCTTATTCTATAAAAAGAATTAATTTCAAGTATTTCGAAGTAATAGCCGATATCATATGGATGCAACATATGATCGGATCTATACTTTGTTGTGCGATTGCGTATACTCAGCCGCTGTACTGCTGTTGTGAGATCTCTAAGCATGAGCTTACTTGGCGAGCGTGTCGTCGCGGCGGTGTTGCGGACTGCGAGGGAAGGTGACCGTGCACCATTCTTTAAAGCTGGTGCACGGAATACGCCCACCACTCGTTCCTGTAAGACCACGTTTTTATAACGTTAATAAAATGAAAGAGCACAGAATCTATTTCATTGTAAGTGGTTTATAAACATCACAGTCATCTCAAAAAACTAAGAAGGCAACAAGAGTATTGTTACACCTGGGATGGTCATTCACATATCATTCAATACCAGTCTGGTATCAAACTAAAAACAAAAATATACACTATTATAATCTGAACTACTCTTTTAAACCAATCTATAACCAGCGTCAAATACGATTGTAGGTCTTCAAATCGGGCTATACATTTTACATTCACACTACTATATATTTTAGTAAGTATTTAAGGCCTGCCACAAGGAAAGCCACAAAACACGATTAAGCAGTGGACTTGTGAAGGGCTGTAATGATAATGAAGTGTATATTTTTGTTTTTCCTTGTAGCAGGACTTATGTTATGTCTAGTGCGTCTGGAGTTACAAACCTCTTACCAATTTTTTCTGTTAAATACCAGTGCTTGTTCTGCCTTGTTTCGGTTCAAAGGAAAAACAGTATAGTTACAGGCGGTGAGGTATTCCATCTTAGTCCTCGGAGGCCAGGTATCTCATCATGGACTTCAGTAGCCACTTACCATCTGGTGGATCGTAAGTTCGTATGCCACTTCAGTTTTATAAAAAATGTATAGAATATAAATTAGAATGCCAATTTCTAAATAACAGCGCTGCACTTGACAAGCAAATTAGCAGTACTAGGAGGATGCTATAAATATCGTAGCTTTTAGCTGTTAATGCATTCATACAAGATTTTGCCATCTTTTTGAAGAAATTTTATCAAGATTTTATTTAGGCGATTTACATAGCACTCTAACACCGTCTCCATATGGTCTATTATCATAAAGCAGTGACATAAGTGCGTAACGCTTGGTTTTGCGGTTCATGTCGATGGAAGAAGCTCATGTCTTTGAATTGTATTATAGGTTGATGATAGATTTATATCGCTTATTGTACTCGCGTAAGTAAATTCCTGCCTATCTATGATTGGAGAAAAATACTTCGAATAACAATATACAACTGGACAGCGAGTCACAACAAAAAATAAAACGACTCAAACGTATTAAATAACAGTTATAATTTATTAATTATTATCAAACAGAAAAAAAGTGTAATTATGATGAGAATAAGAATATGTTATAATATAACACCTTATCTTGTAGAGGTTAAGGAACATATTACCTGTTTAACAATGCATGCACATAAGGCGCTATTGGAAGGTATATATTTTAAGCGACGTCACTTTATCTACTTGTTTAAAATGAAGTTCGATGCGAAAAGAAAAAAAGTTACTGAGTGTATAATGCAAAATTGTTTTAATTAGCCACTTACCACTCTTGGAAACCATAACGGAAGTCTTGTTAGTCTGGTCTAGGTGATGCGACAGCTGGAAGAGTGCTGCACAGCGGTGTACTAGCATCCTGCCGTATGACGTCATTACCGGAAACCGCACTATGCAACGTCTGGAAACACAAATAAAAATGCTTTTTTGGAACGAAGTTCTTTTACTCGGCTTACAGTAGAGTGAACTGGCAGAAATCGTCACGTAAGGAAAAAGCATTATGCTCTCTCCAGGCGACCTTTCCCTCTTTTAAGTAAAAAAAATATAATTAAAAAAATATTATTTTTAATTGCTGACCGTGTGGTCCCGAGTTTGAATCTCGGGTCGGGGCAAAATTATTTATTAGGTTTCCGCGGGAAGCACATAAAGTCGTTGATCAAGCGCCAGACCTCTTCGATCTAGTCGAATTGCCGAACGTTAAAAGTGAGGGAGAGAGGAGAGGGCACCTGAACTTGCACTATCAATCGTGCACTATAATCCTGTTTTACGCAAAGACTACTGTCATGACCGAAATTCGGGCTAAGGGACATTGTTATTAAAGTACGCGAGAGTGATGACGACAAATTCTAATTATAACCGGTGAAAAGAAAAGAGCCTACTTGTTTCTAAAAGGCTGGCAACGCACCTGCAATTCTTCTGGTGTTGCGGATATTCATGGGCGACGGTGATCACTTACGATCAGGTGAACCGCAACGTGCTCGTTTGCCTCCTCTTCCATAAAAAAATCATCATTACTTACCCAGTGTCATTGACGAGATTGTGTAGCTCCTTTTCTATCTTCAACAACGTCATTCTGTCGCGGGCGTTTTTGTTTAGAGTTTCCTTGATAAAGTTTACCAATTCAGGTCCAGTTGGCTCGGTTTTATCATCTGAAAATGTTTACAAAGTAAATCGTAGAAAAATACTACTTAAGTATTTAAACCATACACTAATTTGTTTAAGTAACTACCACATATTTCATTTTTTCTCAATTTATTTGCTCACAACGACCAATACATTTATTTCCAAACAACTCACTTTCAAGAGAAAGAAATGTAGCATTCGAAAACTCAAAACTCTTAATGACTAGGATAACATCTATTATTTAATATTTATTACAATCTATCTGAATTTTAAAATTTACCCACGTAGTTGCCCTATATTTTGTTCACTTCGCTTGGCTCTGTATTTATTCCTTTTAACGATTGCGTCTGGTTTTTGTTTTGTAATTCTGCCTTTAGCTGGACTATTTACGAGGTAGAAAAAAAATACGTTTATGTATTTTGAGTAATAAAAATGCCTTAATAGAATAAAAACACTACGTTTAGAATAAAAGTAAACAGCATACACATGATGAATGACAAGAAACGAAACACACCTAAGTGCTCTTTATTTAACTTTCCTTGTCTCCCCAATGTAAAAAAAAGGTATCTTCCATGCAGTGGACGAGAAAGAATAGACTTACTTTATTCTTTTTACGGTACGGGTAATTTTTTCATAATTACTGCAATAATTAAAAGGAAAACTATCTATATAAATAATAGTAGATAATTACCTGAATCTGTTCTACTTAATGAAATATTCTTTGGTTTCTCTTTTCGTTCTGGGCACCTGAAATAAAAAAAATAGGTGAAGTGCTATCTATACTTGTACACAAAATCATCATCATCATCATCATTACAGCCCTTCACAAGTCCACTGCTGAACATAGGCCTCCCCCAAAGAATGCCACAAAGCACGGTCCTGAGCCACTTGCATCCATCGACTTCCTGCATGTCTTACCAGGTCGTCACTCCATCTAGTGGGGGGACGCCCCACACTTCGCCTGCCGGTACGAGGCTGCCACTCGAGAACCTTTCTTCCCCATCGGTTGTCGGTTCTTCGAGCTATATGGCCGGCCCATTGCCACTTCAGCTTACTAATCCGTTGGGCTATGTCGGTCACTCTGGTTCTACTGCGGATATCCTCATTTCTGAGTTTATCACGCAGAGAAACTCCGAGCATAGCCCTCTCCATAGCTCGCTGAGCGACCTTGAGCAGTGAAGGACCACGTCTCAGTTCCGTATGTCATCACTGGCAACACGCACTGGGTGTACAGTCTCGTTTTCAAGTTTTGAGGTGTACCTGACGAGAAGATGTGCCGTAATTTCCCGAACGCTGCCCAACCGAGTTGAATCCGTCGATTGACCTCTCGGTCGAAGTTGGACTTACCTAGTCGGACTATTTGTCCCAGGTAAACATACTCGTCAACAACTTCGAGCTTAGTGTTCCCAACAACTACCTGCATAGGTGTGACATGGACATTAAACATGATCTTTGTTTTGTCCATGTTCATCTTAAGACCTATCCGTTGGGAAACACTATTGAGGTCATTGAGCATAGTGCTTAGGTCCTCCAGCGATTCTGCCATAAGGACTATATCGTCGGCAAATCGAAGGTGAGTGATGTACTCGCCATTGATGTTGATACCGTATCCTTTCCAGTCTCTGGACTTCAAGCTTCTGAGCTTGAAAACATCTTCCAATGCAGCGGTAAAGAGTTTCGGGGATATGACGTCACCCTGTCTTACACCTCTCTGCAATTGGATAGGTTTCGTACTCTGGTTCTGTACTCGGATAGCCATCGTAGCCCTACTGTACAAGCACTTCAACACTTCGATATACCGACAGTTAACTTGGCATCGCTGAAGGGACAGCAGCACCGCCCAAATTTCGACGGAATCAAAGGCTTTCTCATAGTCCACATACGCCAGACATAGTGGCAAATTGTACTCCTCGGACTTCTGTACAATTTGCCGAAGGGTATGTATGTGGTCTATGGTGCTAAAGCCTTTTCGGAAACCGGCTTGTTCGGGAGGCTGGAAGTCGTCAAGTCTGCGCGCGAGACGATTCGTAATGCCTCTCGAAAACAGCACGTAGACGCGGCTCAGAAGGGAAATCGTTCTGTAGTTCTTCAATAGAGCGTTGTCGCCTTTCTTGAAGAACAAGATCACCGCACTTCTGCTCCACGCCTCCGGTGTAATGCCACCATGGAGGATGGAATTAAAGAGCTTCTGAAGGACTTCAAGTACCAGTTTTCCACCCGCTTTCAGAAGCTCCGCTGTAATTCCATCCTGGCCTGGGGCCTTGCCGTTTTTAAGGTACTGGAGAGCCAATCTAATCTCGCTCAGACTGACGTCCGGGATATCATCGGAATAATGTCGGATAAGACTCGCTCTTGGATCGTTACTCACACTTGCATGTGGCTCCAACGGTGGCGTGTACAGCTGCCCATAGAACCTCTCAATCTCACTCAAAATCTCAGGTGCCCCGGAAACGATGCTGCCACATTCGGTCTTCAGCTTTGACAGTTGGCTCTTTCTGGCAGACAGATCTCTGGCAAAGACTTTGGAGCCTTGGTTCCGCTCGATCGTTTCTTCAATACGAGCTGTATTGAAGTTGCGTAAGTCCCGCCGCATGCATTTGGAGATCTGTCTGTTCAGTTGCCTGTATGCTGTCAAATCTGTTAAAGAATGTAGCTTCATCTCCCGTCTAACAGCCATGAGATTAAGAGTGTGATCGGAGAGTTTTTGTGTTCTTCTGCGGCGGGTCTTGCAGAACTTAACTCCGACCGCATGGACAGTTTCCACGAGCTTGTCATTCAAATCGTCCACTTCATTGCAGTCTTCTAGGCATTGAAAACGGTTTTGTACACAAAATGTCCTATGTAATTAAATTTTCAAATTATTAACAAATTATTAAATATTTTAGGAGTGTAATTCCGGCGCATGAGTCACATATCTTAATACGTAAGGATGTATCTATTACCCCATATCATCCCACCTGCCAAGAGTGGCAACTATGGCAAATATCCCCCCTATAAAGTAATATATAGGGGAGGCTTATATTCAGCAGTGGAATTTTATAGGCTGTAATGGATGGATGAATGAGTTAAATAATGAATATTGAAATTTGAAAATCAAAATACAATAATAATTTATTATAATTATCTACATGGTACTTAATTATACGAAAATTAATATTACGTATAACTTACTTGCAATAATAAGCATCATCTACATCGAGACTGCCAGATTTCCTTGTTCCATCTTTTTCATTGGCTGCGTGAGAAAATTTAATGAAACAGAATTAATACTAAGTCGACATACCTATTTCAAAATAGTATAATAATTTTGAACCTGGTAGCTTTTTAAAGTTGGTAAAAATGACTTCGTCTACATCCAACTTTAATATAATGGATTTCCGCAAAGTGACGCCTGATTCTATTAATAAGATACAACTGTGTTGATTTTAAATTGATCTATTAACGTTCCGATAAAAAAAAATATTTTAACTTAAATTCTAATAAGATGAAAGATTTCAGTTTTTTTTTTAATAGCAATAAGAGTTACAATCAAGCACACATTCAACCTGATGGTAAGTGGATACTGCGTTATAAATACACCTATTTTTATCATTGATTAAGAATCAAAATGCAGAAGCGTTGTCACCCCTGAGGACTAAAACAATAATAAAGGTTATCTGTTTGAATATAGATATAATTGCTTTTGAAACTTTATGCCAAAGTTAAATTCACGAGATTGGATTTTCCCGGTTAAATCCTAACATAAAATAGAGATTACAAAAGTTACATATGTATTTTATATTTATTCTAATTCGGCTTTCAGAAGTTTTATGTAAAAAAGTCACCTGGTTGTTCCGAGTCCGAGCAGTCCGGGCATTCGTCCGAGCAAACGATTCCAGAGTCCTGCTTGGGGCATACTGGTTTCCGTCGTCGACCTCTGCAATATTTGGTATGGGGTTACATAAGTACTTCTACATCAAACTCTCAAAATGAATATAAAAAAATTAATAATAGTTAAAAAAAACTAAACAAACACGTGCTTTTTCAGATATTTCTATGATGGCGGTAAATTTACAAATATCCACAAAAAAAAATTATTTACAACAAATGACATCAAGCACCTCATCACTATTTTGTTATTTTAAATTTATTGAAAATTATTTTCTACAGTACTTTTAGTTCTGTTATCTACAAAAGCGTGGTTTTTTGGAACGAAGTTCTTTTACGCGGCCTATAGTAAATTGAACTGGCAAAAATCGTAGTTATTTTATGAATTATTCGCAAATCCTGAGGATCATGGCTAGGATAATGGGACAAACTATTTAAATTATTGCATTGTGATCGGTCCTTGATAAGTGTGCGAAGTTACAAATCAATTAGACGTTTTGAACGGAATGAAAATCACATTCAAAAATTCCGTTACATAGATGCATACTAAGCTAATAAAAGCATCCCCGTGTAGTACCTGCAGTGCGGACAGGCGGCACAGGTGCCGCAAACGCAAGCGATCCGCGGGTTGTTAGAGAGCAAGTCCCGCGCCGACTCAGAGTGATGGCGATGGCCGAGCCAGCGCTTGGTACGCTGCCTCTGTTCCAAATGCTGTTCAGATTCCCAGCCACCGTGCGTTATCTACAAGCAAATTAAATATTATATACGCACCCAAAGTTATTTTCTACTTCTTTCCTGTCGTTTCGTCATCCTATCCTCCTCCTGTCGGATAAGATCCGAATATCAACCACGACAACAACTTTGGGATATTTGGAAGCAATCAACTGCGTAGGAGATGTACATTCACTCGATCCGATTCAACCTACCAGTACTCGATGCAAAATCAACAATACGGGGCCGCTAATAACACGATCCATCCGAAAATCTACTATTTTTGTTTTAGATTTCAGCTAAGATCCTAACCAAAGACGCGCTCACGCAAAACCACTCTGACCGGTGGACTACGCATTTATTATTGAACTCTACCACTATAACAAAAGATTCCTTCATCATTACAGCACTTCATAAGTCCACTGCTGAACATAGACCTCCCTCAAGGAATGCTACAAAGCACGGTTCTGAGCCACCTGCATCAACTTCCTGCATCTGTATCAGGTTGTCACTTCATCTAGTGGCTACATTCGGGCTAGGGCCCTACATTCGGTTACCGGTACGAGGCTGATAAATAGGTAATTTTTTTTATTGTGTGTGTTTGAATGGGTCTCTGGCTGGTTTAGATTTACAATTGGACCCGGTTGGTGGCGCTGTTGTCGAGATCCAGAAATGACCCGTGCGAAGTCGGGGCGGATCACTAGTATTAAAATAAAAAAAAAATCATTCTTAAATCACCTGTATCTCGACAGGTTGTTTCTTTCTGTCATCATCTCTCCTATCACAGCTACCATCACTGGCATGACTAGACACGTCGCTTGCGTTCCCACTGCCGTTAGCAGAACGTTCGCTGACGCATGGTTTTGCATCGCCCTTCAGAGGCTCCGGGGAAAGCGAGGAAGCTGGCGAAGCAGTGCGTGGCGGCGATTGGGACTCGCGTATCGCCTGGCTGCGCACTAGCTGCTTCGATTTGAAGCTCTAGAAACAGAAAAACTTATTATAAAAACGTTCTCTTTGAACAAACTGTCTGTAAAATTGTTTAGGAGTTAAACCCTCTCAGAATCAGGACAACTAGCAATCATTATGCGTTCAAGATGAAAGTTCGGGAACACCTTCTTAATAAATTGGTAGAATCATCATAACAGTTTATTTATATTTTTTTATTCTTATTACACACACACACACACACATATATCTTTATATATAAAAATTACATGTCACGTTGTTTGTCCGCGATGGACTCCCAAGCTACTGAACTGATTTCAATGAAATTTTGCACACTGTGTGCATTTTGGTCCAACTTGAGAGATAATAGGATAGATTTATCCCGATAAATGATCCTCAAAATTTTTTATTACGAATTTAAGGATTTTTATATGAAGTATCGTGAAAAGGGCAGAACAACGTCTGCCTGGCGAGCTAGTATGTATATATATAATACATTTATACATTTGTGTGACTATATGTGTATTTGTATATATTTACGAGTATATAAACACCTGATATATATTATGTACTTAATATGTATTTATTTTTATAATTACATTGTATTTTTTTTTATAATTACAAAACACATACGGTAAATCAAAACTGTTTAAAAGTAAACTTAAATCATATTTGATAAATCAACCATACTTATTGTAGTAAGTACTTCATACTGGATTATTGTGATTTAATATTAATACATCTTTGTTTTTATAAGACGACTCTCTAGTGTAGATAAACCCCTAGAGGTTTATATGCTAGTATTGTACTGGATAATGTAACATAATTATGCTTAATAAATTAAAAAAATAAATAAATATATATACCAAAATATAAATATATATAAAATAAAAAGAAGCTGAAATATAAATATTTATTATTTTATTTATACATGCATACTTTTTGTTACCTTTATTTTTTATTTTCTTGATATACCATTAATATCTTATGTATTTTATTTCCATGGATTACAAAATTTTTAGTTATATTACTTTAGTATTTTCATATAAACTTTTTACTACACCTATTTCATTGCATCTCTGCATTACCCCAAGGTAGACTGGTAGAGAATGACTTACGTCCGCCTATATACCACGTGTGTATATACTTTTAAATAAATATATAAAAGTTGCTGCCCGAATCAAACAAATAATTATAGAAGAAAATAAAATAGATGTTTGAAGTTTATATTCAAGCATTATAAGTTTCTCGGTTGAAACTTTCTTACCGTAACTGCCTGTTCCCTGCTGTTAAACAAAAACCTACACAAGCTACACTTTCAGAACATTATAAAGAAAGTTATCAACTTAGTAATTGTTTTCTCGTAACATTTAATATGCTTGTAGTTAACCAGCACCAAGGGGCATGCCAAAAGAAATTAGATGCTCTTAAATAATTTGTATGATGCTGCCAAGTTAGACTTATCTTACGATCTTGAAGAGATACCGTTAAACGGACAGCAGCAATGGATCTCATCATCATCATCATCATTACAGCCCTTCACAAGTCCACTGCTGAACATAGGCCTCCCCCAAAGAATGCCACAAAGCACGGTCCTGAGCCACCTGCATCCATCGACTTCCTGCATGTCTTACCAGGTCGTCACTCCATCTCGTGGGGGGACGCCCTACACTTCGCCTACCGGTACGAGGCTGCCACTCGAGAACCTTTCTTCCCCATCGGTTGTCGGTTCTTCGAGCTATATGGCCGGCCCACTGCCACTTCAGCTTACTAATCCGTTGGGCTATGTCGGTTACTCTGGTTCTACTGCGGATACCCTCATTCCTAAGTTTATCACGCAGAGAAACTCCGAGCATAGCCCTCTCCATAGCTCGCTGAGCGACCTTGAGCTTCCTCATACGGCCAGCAGTGAAGGACCACGTCTCAGTTCCGTAAGTCATCACTGGCAACACGCACTGGTTGTACAATTTCGTTTTAAGGTTTTGAGGTATGTCTGACGAGAAGATGTGTCGTAGCTTCTCGAACGCTGCCCAGCCGAGTTGAATCCGTCGATTGACCTCTCGGTCGAAGTTGGACTTACCTAGTCGGACTATTTGTCCCAGGTAAACATACTCGTCAACAACTTCGAGCTTAGTGCTCCCAACAACTACCGGCATAGGTGTGACATGGAGATTAAACATGATCTTTGTTTTGTCCATGTTCATCTTAAGACCTATCCGTTGGGAAACACTATTGAGGTCATTGAGCATAGTGCTTAGGTTCTCCAGCGATTCTGCCATAAGGACTATATCGTCGGCAAATCGAAGGTGAGTGATGTACTCGCCATTGATGTTGATACCGTATCCTTTCCAGTCCAGAAGCTTGAAAACGTCTTCCAATGCAGCGGTGAAGAGTTTCGGGGATATGACGTCACCCTGTCTTATACCTCTCTGCAATTGGATAGGTTTCGTACTCTGGTTCTGTACTCGGATAGCCATCGTAGCCCTACTGTACAAGCACTTCAACACTTCGATATACCGACAGTCAACTTGGCACCGCTGAAGGGACTGCAGCACCGCCCAAATTTCGACGGAATCAAAGGCTTTCTCATAGTCCACATACGCCAGACATAGTGGCAAATTGTACTCTTCGGACTTCTGTACAATTTGCCGAAGGGTATGTATGTGGTCTATGGTGCTAAAGCCCTTTCGGAAACCGGCTTGTTCGGGAGGCTGGAAGTCGTCAAGTCTGCGCGCGAGACGATTCGTAATGACTCTCGAAAACAGCACGTAGACGCGGCTCAGAAGGGAAATCCGTCTGTAGTTCTTCAAGAGAGCGTTGTCACCTTTCTTGAAGAACAAGACCACCGCACTTCTGCTCCACGCCTCCGGTGTAATGCCACCATGGAGGACGGAATTAAAGAGCTTCTGAAGGACTTCAAGTACCGGTCTTCCACCCGCTTTCAGAAGCTCCGCTGTAATTCCATCCTCGCCTGGGGCCTTACCGTTTTTAAGGTGCTGGAGAGCCATTCTAATCTCGCTCAGACTGACATCCGGGATATCTTCGGAATAGTGTCGTATGAGACTCGCTCTTGGATCGTTACTCACACTTGCGTGTGGCTCCAACGATGATGTGTACAGCTGCCCATAGAACCTCTCAATCTCACTCAAAATCTCAGGTGTCCCGGAAACGATGCTGCCACATTCTGTCTTCAGCTTTGACAGTTGGCTCTTTCTGGCAGACAGATCTCTGGCAAAGACTTTGGAGCCTTGGTTCCGCTCGATCGCTTCTTCAATACGAGCTGTATTGAAGTTGCGTAAGTCCCGCCGCATGCATTTGGAGATCTGTCTGTTCAGATGCCTGTATGCTGTCAAGTCTGTTGAAGAATGTAGCTTCATCTCCCGTCTAACAGCCATGAGATTAAGAGTGTGATCGGAGAGTTTTTGTGTTCTTCTGCGGCGGGTCTTGCAGAACTTAACTCCGACCGCATGGACAGTTTCCACGAGCTTGTCATTCATATCGTCCACTTCATTGCAGTCTTCCAGGCACTGAAAACGGTTTTGTAACTCGAGCTGAAAGGTTTCGGGACTTTGGAACAGAGCACGAGGGGGACGGAGCGTTGACTTCATTAGACGAGACCTCTCCAACTTAACGTTTAGGTTCAGTGTGCCTCTAACCATTCGGTGATCGCTACCAGTTTTCACCCTCGCGATCACGGAGACATCACTGAACAGTTGTCGTCTGGTCGTCATAATGAAGTCAATCTCATTTTTTGTGGAACCGTCGGGGCTCGACCAGGTCCACTTCCTGTGGGGCCGCTTCTGGAAGAAAGAGTTCATCATAAAGAGTCCCTCTTTCTCCATGAAGTCGGCCAGCTGCTGGCCCCTTGGGTTCCGTTGCCCTATTCCAAATTTCCCTACTTTCAGCTCACCGTTCTCTCTTGTGCCTAGTTTTGCATTGAAGTCTCCCATTAATACCGTATATTGGGTTTTGGAGGAATGCATGGCTCTAGAGATATCCTCATACATTTCCTCCACCTCCTCATCGGGGTGTGCCGAGGTTGGTGCGTAAACCTGTATGACCTTCAGCGAATACCGTTTGGTTATTCTGAGTATAAGGTACGCAACCCTCGTCGACACACTCCCGATCTTTACAACGTTGTTAACGAGAGACTTGTGGACGATAAATCCGACACCTCCTTGGGACAGATGGTCGCCCTCCCGGTGATAGAGCAAGTTGCCGGATTCGAGGATTACCGTGTCCTCCCCCTCTCTTCGGACTTCGGATAATCCTATAATATGCCAGCGCAACTTGTCTATCTCTTCTTCCAGCTCCACGATCTTCTCGTCAGTCCTCAGGGTGCGTGCGTTGTACGTTGCCAGGTCGAGTCGTCTAAGGTGGCAACCGCACCTCCACCGGAGATTCTTAGCACCCCCTGCCCCGCCGTTACCATGGTCGCCACCGTAGCCAGGAATAGCGGGGCCGCCGGGGACTGGGGGCCGTCTGTTTGTTGCTTTATTCATTGGGGGGGTATTTGCCATAGTTGCCACGCTTGGCGAGCGGGTTGGCAACCGCAGTTTTTTTATTGTAATTTGGCTATTATCAGGAAGATGCTGCTGCCCATCTCCTGCCTGTTTCCCTTTGTCGCCTTTTACGACACCCACGGGAGGATATGGGGTAGTGGATATTCTTGACCGCCACTACACGGAGAGCAAGCAATGGATCTAGCGTACCCTAAATTGAAAAACTGTTTCGATGCCTGAGGCAGGAGCGGGTTCAGAGTTTTAGCTTAGAGCTAGACAGAACTCTGGAATTCCTACTACTTACGCAAAGGCTGGGGGTAGCTATTACATCGAATAATTATTATTTTAAAAACACTTATTTAAAGAATCAAAAAAAAACTTTTTTTTAATCAGTATCTTGCGGTAATTAGTTAACAGCAATGGATTCAACAGTGTTGCTTTTCGCGCTATGATTTACTAATACTATACAAAAAAATTAAATGTCAAAAATGTTTTGAATTTTTGGCTAACTACCATTAAAGAGTCGGCTTGTTTACAAGCAACAGTTTTTAATTGGCTTACTGAATTCAAAGGAAGACGGAAATTTTTTTAAGACGATGCGAAGACAAGTCAGTTGGCAATCTCAGTCACTTAAAAAAAATATGATATGTAGGTAGTAGTCGAAAAACTTATTCGAGAAAACCAACGAATTACAATTAATTAGAGCTGCAGCTAAATCAGGCTATTGGATTAGCAGCAATAACCATAGTTAACATAAGAACACGGTCAACTTTCTCTCCGTAAGAGCTGGTGGAGATGGGTGACACATCAGGTTCCCGATTAGCAGAAAGACCGTCAAGTGGATTGGTGCCTATTAATGATGGAGAAATTCGACGCCAACGAGAAGAAAAAAAAATTGATATACTGACTGGCAATAACAGATGGTGGAATTATGATCCCGAAAAAAAGCGACACTTCAATACCTAAATGGTGCTTTGAAGTTGAACTAATACCAACGGAATGTCGACGTACGCGAAGCATATCGGTACCATCGTTATTCTGCAAGACGGGACAATATTGTAGTGGTGACAGTTTGTGCCCCAAAAGGATTATCAACTTGGTGAGATAAGCTACCAGAAATCCGGCACCTTCTCTGGCACTTCGACAACGCATTGTAGCTCATGTCTGCCAGAACACTAAAAATGTTTCTGTCCTACCTCACCCGCCAATTTCTTGCAATGCACCTTGCAAATTTTAAATTTAAAAAAATCATAAGGTTGTGTAAGTTGAAAGAGTAGATTTTCCAAGTGGATTAGACGCATAGAATACGTGCCTCAAGACGATACTTAAAGGAAAAAAGTTTTATTTTTTGAGTATCTAGTTTCTATTGGTATGAATCTCGTATGTCACTTACTCCAAATACTAAATTAGGTATTTTATTTGTGAAGCTTTATGAAAATAAATTCATAAAAGAGAGGACGAGGAGAGATAAAGTGAATCCATTACAACCTATAAAAGTCGATTGGCTTATGGGGTAATTTTGCTATAGCTATAGATGCCATGTTTGGCAAGCGGGTTGATGATGAATTATTGATGGAAGATGCTGCTGCCCATCTGCTTCTTTATTTTCCCTCTGTCGCCTCTTACAACACACTCGGGACGATATGGGGCACAGATTCTTACAACGCCACTACAAGGTTAAGTGAGTAGAAGTTAAAATTACCCGACTCCTGTTTAAATGGCCTGCTTCCTCGGCGCCGCCGCAGACCTTTTCCACTTCAGACTTCTCCATGGCAATGCAACCTAAAATACATTAAAATAAATTCATTGTATATGCAAAAATACAGGTCCTCTTATAATATTACCATTGTTACTGTATTTTTGACACTGCACCCTCTTCCATTATTTTAGACCAGTCTTTACATTTGTTTGAATATAATCTCAGTTTTACAGTAAGTTAAGTTTGAAGAACTAAATACAATTTGTTTTTCATATCAAATAAGAATTTATAAAATTGGATTTTGTAAATTTTTATGTCGATGATTCTATTATATTCTTTTTTTATAGAATGGGGGTGACAAACGAGTACACAGCCCACCTGATGGTAAGTGACCCATAGACATCTACATCTAGCTTCGATTAAGAATCAAAATGTAAATACGTTGTCAACCCTGAGGACTAAGACGGAATGCCTCGTTTCCAGTAAAAAGGGTCTCCGGTTCTCTACACTCGCCATACGAAACAGCAGAATCAAACTGCTATTTTACGCTGGTATTCTGTGAGAGCGTGATCCTACCCCGGTCGAGCCGACCCATTTGTGCTACAACCGTAATCTCGTAATATAGCTGAAGCATGGCTCTACCACGTAACATAATTCTATTATATTCTATAAAAACTATCTGGGATTATTGATATTTTGCTTGTAAAAAAAAAAACTAAACACAAATTGTGCATTACATATTATTTTCTGAATCAGTATATACTTTGCATTTTATTACCCTTAAGTCAATAGGTTTATTTTTAAAATAATTGTGTGGGCGTAATTTGTTAGTAGATGCAGAGAATATAAATTTAGTAAATGAAATGAATCAATCTGTTGAATCTGTTACCACCTCACCTATCAATTTCAAACGTGTTTACCACCAGGGTAGAATAGCAGTGTGATATAGCAGCTTCATGTTGTTTTGTTTTTATAGTAAGTAACAAGAACCGGAGACCCCTTTTTAATGTTAAAACGTCATTTCTTCTTAGTCCCCAGGGCTCATAACGCATTTGCATATAGAATAGATTGTTAAGAATCAAAATTCTTAATAATCTATTCCAGATGTAAATTTCTATGGGCCACAAGCATTAACATAACATGTGGTGGACTGTGTGCTCGCTTGTCACCCGTTTTTATTAAAAAAAATCACTCAAATACACTTAATATAAAAAATGGTTTTGTACAGCGTAGGTCATGCTAGAAAAAGGTCACCATTCAGTATGGGCTGCAGTAAACCACAACGTTTACTTAATTTCGTAATTTATAAACATTATCACTGACATTATTACATTGTTATTATGACATACACGATAATTTTACGAAAGTGTTTCCTCTTCCGACATCGAACCCCTGTTGGCAAGACGCCAACCTCTTAAAAGTAATATATTATCTCTCGAACTTATAAAAAATTAAAAGTTTTATGTATTATAATCGTAAAACTTCCGGAATTAAGTACAGTAGTAAAACCAAGGATTGTTATGAAATGGTAAATCAGCAGTAGTCCCAGTGTTACCTTTGAAAAAATAAGGCGATGTTACATTGAAAAGATTATTGAAGACAATTTAAATTATACTCTTAGCTCGTGTATAATATATCAGCAACTTGGGTTGAACGACAAGGGAGCCGAAACATTTTTAACGGATTTCAAATACTTAAAAATTAAAAATTTTGTACAACCGACTTCAATATAAATTATTAAGAATAACTCAAAAACTATTGGTCAGACCTTGATCAAATTTATATGGTAGGTACCACATGAGAAGCATCAGCTTTTAAATAAAGAAAGAATCATCGTAATCGGTTCACCTAGAAAAAAGTTATGAGGTCAGGTTAGATTTGTGGAACACAAATTTCGGCTTGGTAGAGCTCTATAAAGCGAAAAGTTTCGTCATTGGTCATTGTTACTGTCATTTCGAAGACACTAGTTACAACTCTGAGAGCACGTAGCAAACTAAACGGCTAAACGCGAGCGCAACGTGTGAACGCGGCGACCAATTCTCTGCCACAACCCTTTGCTCTTTTGTAAAAAACCGATACCACACGGATCTCGCGCCAACTTGTGGGCCATCATTCCAATAGATACCAACGTAAGCATTTTTATTTTTTACTATTCAAGTTGAAGGCAAACGGACAAATATTTTACCAATGGTGAGTGGCTACTGCAGCTCTTGTCTTTCGGCTATTGTCACCTTCAAACCGGCGAACAACAGTGAAAAAAAAAACATTTCTACATAATAGTTAGCATAAATAAGAGGGTAGTACAAAACAGTTCCTTATACAAATATAATCTCACACCTGGTATATGTCTATACGTATGTTATTTTGTGTAGGCTTTTCGGGTATATTATGTAAAATAAATCTTTAAAAACTAAATGGGTCAATACAAAGCTTAAACATGAAAAATAAATACTCACCCTTATAATCTTAGCTAGTAAAGGACTCCTCTAAAATTATGTTTTAATTTTAACATCAATACATAATAACTTTACAATGAATTCTAATTACCCTTACACATTAAAAGGTATTGGACCAACAGAGGTTTTGATACACTACGAACTACGAATAGAAGGCAACTATTTTTTTTTTTACTTAGAATCTTCGTCCAAAAACACTAGTTAAAGCTCTCCAGAAAAATCTAATATTTTCAAGTCAGGGAATATAGTGGCTTTATTTGAAATAAAACTGTCCTTTTTAAATTCCGATATTCAAAGAAGACAAGTTCGGTGTTACAATATTTGTAAGCTCGTTGGTTTTCCTTTTTTTGTTTTGATGTGTCAAATTCAACTTTTTAATCTGTGGCTTTACGATCATTGGGTTTTTTAATGTGCTCAAATTAGTTTTCAACTTTCGTGGACGGTGCTTGACGGAGAACATTGTTCGATATCGTTAGCAAAGGTTTTGGATTAATCCAAAACGCTGTAAGATGGGGGCGGAGAGTGCAGGTCTAATTTTATGCGATGTTTTTTCACTATTCTGGAAGCCATAAATCTGAAACAACGAAAGATATAAGATTAGTAATAAGATATAACATGATGACATGATGAACATTGACTATGATTCTAACAATTCGAAATTTTTTACAACCGACTTCAATATAAATAAAATGAGAACATCATCAATGTAGTCGAAGTCAATTAAATACGCATTATTAAGAATAACTGATAAACTACTCTTCAGATCTTGATAAAACTTATATAATACCACATGAAAAGCTTTTAAATAAAAAAAAAATCATCATAATCGGTTCACTTAGAAAAAGTTCTGAAACAGAAACAGAAGCTTTTTATTCAATATAGATTGTAAATAATACTTATTGAAAGTCACGCTTTTAAATAATTTCCACTGGTTTGTAAAAAAAAGGTCCTAACTAAGTATGCGCCCTTTTGTTGCGACTCGTAATCGTTTGTTAACAATATAATAATTACACACAACAAAGAAAATCATACCCACAAAAGCTGTTGGTGGTGTAGCAAATTGTAAAGAGAAAAATCGTCACTGTTAATGTTTTTTAGGTATTGACTGCAAAATCATTTTCACCGACTTTCATGGCACATGTGATATGTCATTGAAAAAAAGAATTTATTTTACGACACATTACTGAATGTGAACCAAAACAGCGAACGCTACTACCGGGAGGCAAAATTTTAATGCGTAAAAGATCACTTAAATAATATTACAAATCTCTTAGAGACCAAAAATACCAGGTGTGCAGTACGTTATTTTTGAGCACATTTGCTATGTGTGAAAATTTTGTCCGTATTGTTTTGGTTTTGTCTAGTCAGTCAGGAATCATGCGACAAGATAATTGAGGTGGTCATGTAGAAAGTCTCAAACACAGAGACTTAATTGGTAGAGCCACGCTGCAGCTATATTATGGGTGAAACACTAATTGGCCGACTCGACTGGGGTAGGACCACGAATACTAGAGTAAAATATCAGCTTTTAATATTGCTTACTGTGTTTCATACGATGAGTGTAGATAACCTGAAATTTATTGGAAACGAGGCATTCCATCTTAACCTTTAGGCGTGACAACACATCTGCGTTTTAATTCTGAGCGAGGATAGATGTAGCCGTATATGGGCCACAGCATCTATTTACTATCAGGTGGAATGTTAGTTTCAGGTGGCCCGAAACAGAACGTAGACGTAGGTTAACAGAAATGAACATTTTTTTTTTATAGGATGAGGGTGACAAACGAGCACACAGTCCACCTGATGGTAAGTGGTTGCTGTGGCCCATAGACATCTACATCTATCTTCGATTAAGAATCAAAATGCAGATGCGTTGTCACCCGTGAGGACTAAGATGGAATGCCTCGTTTCCAGTAAAAAGGGTCTCCGGTTCTCTACACTCACCATACGAAACACAGCAGCGTTAAGCTGCTATTTTACGCTGGTATTCTGTGAGAGCGTGGTCCTTCCCCGGTCGAGCCGACCCATTCGTGCTACAACCATAATATAGCTGCAGCATGGCTCTACCACGTATATAGTTGTATCTATCTTCTTAAATAAGCATGACGTAGGACTACTAAATCAATCAGCTTGTATAGTGACGAATGTGCATGACGAAATAAAAAATCTAATTTTTTTTATAGGAGAGGGGGCAAACGAGCATGCGGCTCACCTGTGACTACCGCCGCCCATGAACAACTGCAACACCAGGGAGGGAATTGCAGATGCGTTGCCGGCCTTTTAAAAAGGAGTACGCTCTTTTCTTGAAGGTCCCTAAGTCGTATCGGTCTGGAAAAATCGCTGATGGTAATCGATTCCACAAAGAAGTCGTGCGAGGAAGAAAACATTTTCTAAATCGCACAGTGGTGGACCGCCAATCATCCAGATGGTTTGGATGGTATCGGGAGTTCTGCCGCGATGTGCGTTCGTGAAATTTGGCGGCTGGAATTAATCCGAACAATTCTTCAGAGCACTCCCAATGGTAGATGCGAAAGAAAATACAAAGGGATGCAACATCTCTTCGCAGTGCCAATGAATCGAGCCGATCGGAAAGGACTCGGTCGTCGACGATTCGGG